ATGTACGATTGGCAAGTTGCCCGTACATTATTGGAAATAATGGTACGCCAACATCAAAGGATGACGTCACATCGGTATTTTAAATATTTATATTCATTTTATGGGGGTTTCGGATATGAAATAATATACATGTGTTTTATAGAACAGACTATTACAAATTGCTTAATGACTTCATTTTGTGAACTTGTCTGTAACACGAAAATCTTTTTACCGTAACTGTTTAGTTTGTGTATAATTCTATCACTTTATTTCACTTGAATACATCACCTTCAATTGAACATCGTTATTGCTATATGATAATCGATTACTTATTGTTCTTACAAGGCAGTTTGATTAGTAATCAAAATTTGATTTGAATCATATTTTTTTAATGCTCTCATCATGCCATTTTAACATCGCCTAATTGAACGCTATAACTGTAGTTTTATTTTTAATGGTACAATTTAATCTGCCATAGTATAAGCAAACAATAAATATCCTTTCACCTGCAAATTAATAGTCTTTAACAATTTGGCTTGGTGTATGGTGCTGACCTGGGTACCATTTCACAGGGCGCACTTAAGTCTTGCGTAAAGCTGTAGAGACTTTTGGCAAGCGTAAATTCCTGGTCTGTATTGCGTATCCGTGTGGATTTCGCGATACGGCATACGGATACGTCAGCACGTATCGAACAGCTTTCATACGAAAAAGGTCCGTATAACATTGTCGTCTTTTTACCGTCTTTTTGCTACTTTTAGACGCTGAAATGTTGTGTAATAGCGTTTTTATGAATCTATGTGTAGGCTATCCCAGAACACGAGGGTGTATATTTGATGTGATTTAAACCATTATAAAGACTTGAATTTAATCATTATTTTTGATGGGTTTTTCTCGAAATTTTCATACTTCTCCTGTCTGTCTGCATGCTGGTTGAACTACGTGCTAAATTTAAGGAGGTGGGACCTTGCAAATCTGTAAATGATTTTGTTCTATGGTAAAGGGGTACAAACTTTCTGAAATGATACATTAGTGAAACCAGAAATTGCTGACTTCACTTCATCCGGGTAATTGTAGGCTAGGCACTTGACTAGTACTGGTGGTGATGCTGTATAATAGAACGAAGTTCAGCTCAGCGACGCATGAGTGCGCGACGCGAAAATCTGCCCAAACTCTAAAACTACATTGACGCAACGTATCACGTATACGATACGGATACGTGATACAGATCGGAAATTCCGCTTGCCAAAAGTCATTTTGTATGCGCAAAATTACGTACGATTCATGATAGGGAAACGGGGTTATGGTCAGTTCCATAAGAGAAAATCGGAAAGGTCCCATCTGGTGTGTCGCATATGATGTGAAACAAGAAATTGATGCGCTAAATTCAACCCTCGTCGGTAGTAAAATAAAAATACCGCTATATATATATTTCGAATGTTAAAGATGAATTGTGTAAGATTTAAATAAAGGGCTGACGGTTCTTGCTATAATAGTTCAAAAACAGATTATGACAAATGTATATATTGAAAATTTCATTCCAATTACTTTATTCTGAGCGAAGTTATGACTATTTGAAGGTAATCGAGGCTGTCCGATAATACATTTCATCATTAAATTTTTATATTACGCGGGTATTTTAATCCATTTAAATCTCAGCCATCCGATGTTCTAGTGGGTTTATGATAGGCTTGTCATGGGGAATAAATGTCTAACAAATGGCTTATATTACATTTGAAGCCGACGTAAAGACCTGCAATAGACAGATTTAGTTCTTGCATAATGTATCTTTAAAAGATGCTCCTTGTGATTGTTATCCCGGTCGCTGCAGAACAGTTTAAAGACGTTAAACTCCACTCCATTTCATCCTATTTTAATGTACGGCACGAACCCTAATTGTACTGATTTTTTTATTAATGAATATATCTTAATATGGAATTTTCATTACCAGTCAGATAAGACTCTGTTTAAAATAATATAATATCGAATATCAATACACTTGATTGCCCCGATACCAAAATAAATAACATTACATAAACAATTAGTGCTAGACAAAAGCAAGCGATAAAGGGCCATTAAGAAGATTAATTAACGGAGAAAATACTTCACTGGTTATTAAATAAACACATCAAGCGTATTCTTCAAACTTTTCACTGGTGTTCAACACACATAAAGAGACTATTTTGACTAACGGAAACACAGCGCCGCCATTTGTTAGTTCTTAGAGCGATAATTCTTCGGTCAACACCATATATCAAAAATACCAATACCCAATACAAACATCTCACCAATCTGTCATGTATTAGCAGTTTATTTAATGAAATAATTATGGAATTGTTAATCACTATTTGTAGAGCAATTTATTCTGACTCGGTAAAATTACAGTCGCATAAAAGAAATAACACGTAACATATTAATAAGCATAAATAGATTTTTAGTTATTAAAAGAACGAGGTTGGAACGTATAGAATATGTATTTAAATCGAACACCATCTTAAAAACTGTCGTGAATTCTTCTTTTTTTTATAGTTAACAACTTAGAGAATGTAATTTACGACTACGATGACCTTCTAATATCCATTGTTTATTGTGGTTTTGAACATCCGACGATACTTTACAACTTGAGTCTGTCGATGAACAGACTGGTATCTGTCTTGCTCCTCGCCCTCTCCCGTAAATTGGCCTTCCAGATAATCAAGGATTCAACAAGTGCGTGGTCAATGTAGATTGCAGTATTCTTTGATGGCTACGCATTGGCGTGTAGAAATGGTTCCACTATTGATGTCTTCCGTCTTGCTCCAGCCACAGTACTGGATCGTTCTAAGGACTTTCTTTGAGCAGGTTATTTCATGATTTGATGACAGAAAAGTTACTGGCCTATAACTCCCTTAATTTCCAATTAAACCGACCCCAAATTGTACTGTACACAGCTTAACATATAATAAACCAATTCCCATTGAAATAAAGGTGAAACCATAACGCATAATATATGATTTGATCAAATCCAACTCCTACACGAACCAGAATTAGAACGCGCACGTGATTTCACGTCACCTCGAAATAAATACAGAACAACTGTTGGGTAAGATAAGATTATGATTTCAGTGTTCCCACTTTCACTATTTATTACATAATTACTTCTTTTCATGCACACAGCTAGTGGTGAAATGTGTTGAGAATTTTGCAATCGAACCTATTTTTACTTGAGCAAAGCCTCGAATAATGTACTGTGGGGGATCACGGTGGCTAAGTGGGTAAGACGCTGGCTCGCTAGCCTGGAGGTCGGGTGTTCGATCCCTGCATTGGCCGAGAAAGTTCATCCCGATTTTCCGACGTGGTTCCCCTTGTCAGTGATGCAGGACGGGGGGCCTGACAAGGACATAGTGCCGCTCTCCGGGCAAAACTTCCCTCATAGCACACTGTATGGCGTATGCCCGTCTTCATTAACCCAGTTCGGAGCAGAACAGTAGAACGTTAAACCCCATTTCATTTCATTTCGAATAGTGTGTCAATTGTAGCTGCGAAAAAGACAGGACGCAGCTACAATATTGCAGCTAATTGGCGTGCTGCTCATAAAAGAACCCTTGACAGTTTGAATTCGATAGGCTGTAATGCCGCTGACTGGGCAAAATTTTTCTCTGTTTCATCAGTTTATGGCCCATGCCAGTTTCTGTTAGCCAAGTCAGCGCAGAACAGTAGGGAGTTAAACCTAAACCCATTTCATTTATTGTCCTTCCTGATTATGTTAGAATTCATGTACAGAAGGGAGATAACTCCACTTTATGACCTATTCTATTATTTTTGAATGTAGTGAACTACTTAAATGCACTGTCAGTTTTACTGTTAAAAATAGTATATGAAATTTCATTACAGCACGAAATTAAAGGAAACATATTACATTAAGGAAAAGGAATAGCTTTTTCTTTTTCACTCTAAAATCTCAACCCTCCCGACCGAATAGAATCATCCCGAGCAAAAAAAAAAAAAAAAATAAAAAAAAAAATATTAAAGAAATATTAAAGATAGATTGCCAGACTACGAAACATGCACCCATAGCAGCTATGTCATCCGGCAAGTCAAGAAGGGTTGTCGCATATTGTTGCTTTCGTCTGTAATCAAAACATTTACCACACTCTAAATTCTGATTACGAGTAATAACCCATTAAGTAATTGTTAGAAATTATTAGAATTCCTTTCGATTGTTTGTCTCGTTACCTCAAACACTGTCTAAAAATTTATTTTAATTTTAGCCTCTAGATCGTCCACGAGATTTTTCAAAGTGATTAAGGACTATAACTCTGGTAGTAATTATCGGAAATCGTTGAAAAGTTATAGGCCTTTTTGTCTCAAACTTACACGCCGTGTGTCAATTTATATTCAATCAGATATTAACGAATTTGATTTGATTTCTGTCCATCTAGAGCACGTTTTATGCTTTACTATAATAGCAGCTTTCTGTGTACGCCTTTTGACTATCTCTTGGTTTGGAGAACCTTTACGGCAAAGTATTTCTCTAATTTCCATACGAATGTCAGTGATGCAGGACGGAGGGCCTGACAAGGACAGCTGTCTAGTCCTTCGGATGAGACGAAAAACCGAGGTACCGTGTATACATTGGAATGCACGTAAAAGATCCCTTGGCAGTTGGAATTCGATATAAGAGTAGGCGATAGTGCCGCTGCCCGGGCAAAATTTCCCTCATAGCACACTGTATGGCGTATGCCCGTCTTCATTAGCCCAGTATAGGAGCAGAACAGTAGGAATGTTTTGGAGAAAAAATCTGTAAGCTAGATGTCTTTCTTACGTTTTATAACCATTTTAGTGAAGTGGACACCGTTCTTTCGGTAATGAGAAAAACCCCAGACATAATGCGTTTGTAAAATATTATCAGAAAATCATATTTTATAGTCTGTTGTTCCATTCCTAATATTAGTTGTCTTGATAAACAATGCCGTAGTTTAAATAGCATTTGTCTGATTCCAAGAAATTATACCCGAGTTATGTCCCTTGTCTGGTCCATTTTTTAATAGTAGAGCTCTGATGATTCGACGATGTCCAACCAACAACTTATCAGAAGAACATTATTGTCATTGTACAAAGTCCAACCTAGAAGATTATCCACCATGCCTACATCCGTTAATCATTCATTCAAATTAACATTTGAAGGCTGTTTGGGTATTGTTAATCTTGGCGAAGGAGAAAAACGGTTCAGCAACGATTTTATGCAGTCCTTCCATTCAATTTTAGATCAGGTTGAAAGGTAAAACTTCAGTCTAGTGAGATCCGACGAGCATTTTTTAGACATTATAATTTATTATATTCAATCAAATATTTGCTCTGGATTTTTTTTTATACCCAGCAGCTCGATAGTTGTCTATCGGGGGACTGTAGTTGGGAGCAACGGTGGCTCAGTGTGTTAAAAGTTGGCTCTCTAACCTGGAGGTCCGTGTTTGATCCCTGGGTTGTCAGAGAAAGTTCATCAGAATTTTCCAGCGTGGTGCCTCCTTCAGTGGTGCAAGAAGAGGGACTGTGTGTAGTTGTTTGGATGATACCAAAAAAAACCCCAAGGTCCCGTGTATACACATTGGCGTGCACTTAAAAAAAAACCCTTGGCAGTTGGAATTTGATATTAAAGTAGGCCCACAGCCTGGGCAAGATTTCCCTCTTCTTAGCACACTGGTGTATGCTCGGTTTATTAACCAAGTCTCCTGTCATGCCGTCAAGAGTTGTCTCCCATTAAAGGTGCCATAATATTATTGACCAACTGCAATCAATACTGAGGTCATATCTTACTATGAAAATATAGGATCCGACCTAATATCCAATATTGAAGATACACAATAAACATTTTAAAATCAGTACACAACATTGGGTAGCCTACCAGGTACAGGTACTTGTGTACTAGGTACTGTGCCCTATGGACATTTAATGTTTCGAGAGTCATTTGTAATGAACAAAAAAAAATATCCCAGAAGACGATGCGAAAGTAATAAAAAGTGATTGATTCACAAATGGCAAGATAATAATTTTAAAAAATATGTGGAAAGAACTAAGCAGGTGCAAAAGACTGCCATTCAATTTGGACTGTTTCAGTGCCTATGGCGCTCGATTCTGTGATGGCTTTGTTCTTCCACTCCTTTGTAGTCTTATATACTATTCATCACTATATACTATTTCATCACAGTTATAGTGAACTGCCCAGTTAGTAGCACCACTAGTGCCTGGGGTGACAGAATGTACAAATGTTTAGTCAACTCTCACAAAACAGGTGGAACTGACAGTTAGATCTTGAGATTCTGTATTGACTTCAAACGCCAGGATATTGACCCCCACCCCACCCCCTTCAGATTGCTCTGTGTTATAACCATTGCCCCTAAGGTTCACAAAAAATTAATAACAAAATCTGTAATAATCATAATATGGCATGAACTTTATCTTTATGTCAACTTGAATAAAACTGCAAGATGACATTCAGCGAATAACTATATTGGCAATACGATCTTTGTTCTTTTGGGGTGCTCAGTGTTATAACCAGTATTTTGTTGATATTCATTGTGGGGTGGGATTGTGGATGGCACCCTAGAATTGGAACCACCTCCCCCCTCTCCCTCCTCCCTATTCACAGCTTCTAGATCTGCTACTGACTGTTTGCTGCACATTTCCCTGAACGTAATTGATTATATATGTGATCATTATTTTAATGATTAAAATCACTAAACACTTCTAAAAAAATACATACATTATCATTAAGTTTTAATTATGTGTTTTGGATCTTCGGTTGAAGCACGTATTGTTTCCAAAAGTGTTTTCATTATTTTTTGGGGGGAGGGGGGGATTTTAGTCAGTTTGTGCAGCCAAAACTGTACATGGTGCAAACATTCTGTCAATGTACATGTTGTTGGCCTCCGTGGATCTATATATTAAATATAAATTGGGTATTTCTGACAAATAGGAAGTGTTTTACGGATGGGACAAAAGTTAATCTCAATTGCCCATATCTCGTTAATTTCTCATTTTTGGATTCTTTGGACGAATCTCATACCGTTTTTCGAAATTTGGAAGTTCGCTCAATTAGTTCTAGCCTCAAAGTTTTGCGAAAGTTTTCTGCAGCATTTTTTAGATATTCAAGATGGCGTATCACCATTAGTATTTGAGGTATCAAGTTGAAACTTGGTAGGAATACGGAACACATTAATGCCTTCAAACTGGCATATTAATAGCTCATGTGGTGGCTTTCGGAAACGTCTGGAAATTACAGAGGCCTTCCGTTTTTTTCCCAGTTTTCAACAGTTTGGCAACCATATTGGATTTTACAAAAAGCCTTCAAATTGATATTCAGCCGCCATTTTAATTCCAATTTTTAAAATCTTTTTTTTGTTATGAACCTACTACAAAGGGCAACAATTCATAGGGAGCCGATTTTTGAATTTCAATTTTGTTTACTTCCGGTTTCACTTTTAATATTTTTTTTTACTTTTGACCTTATATCTGGTGACCTAACCTTTCAATGGCCCTTGACCTTTGTATGTATGATGACCCTGATGTCAATGTCAACTAACAGTTGATATCAAAAAGTTTGGTCTTGAAGTATAACTTCCGGTTTTATTAAGAGTTCAAAATGACAGGTTTTTTCACTTTAATAGGTATTGGATGTAACTATACTCAATAACTCATGGTGTAACTTGATTGTTCATGTGACAAGGCGTGACCTGACGTGACGTGCCATACTGAAACAGGCCAGTACTCCTTCAGAGTTCTAGTTTACTTTGAAATTTTTAGGTCAAAAATCAAGGTAGCAGGACGATTGCTGATTGAACTTAATGTTTTGCAATAAAATGTGATCCAATTAAAATTTAAATTATATTATTTTTGTTCATTATTACTGCTTTTCAGTAATAAGTCTTGTAAAGCTTTAGTAACTACTGCAGAAGGAAAATTTTACTCTAATGGTTTGGATGTGGATTATATAGACAAACAAACTGTTGAAGCTAAACTAGAATATCTGAAGCATGTGAGGAATCTACTACAGAGAGTTTTAACTTTCCCAATGCCAACTATTGCTGCCCTAAATGGTGAGTAGCCTATATTTAATTACAAAAATTGTGAAGCTGTGGAAAATTATAATGATAAAGAAGATGCTCAGAGTATATGACACTCAAGGGGCCTGTCACAAAGACTTATTCTAGCGTCACTTCAAATTAAAACCAGCTAAAATTAAACATACATAATGCAAGGGCTAAATCTGCGTATTACAAGTCTTTATTTAGGCTTCAGATGTTATAGAAATTATTAATTAGACCTTTAATTAATAATTGCCTGGCAAAAGCCCTAAATGTTTAATACAGACTGCTTCTGGGTTACTGGAAGGAAGAAATTGGTGATTTAATTCCACACAACACAATAAGGTTCATTTCAATCATGCACTTCCACAATGGTTTCTTCAAGAAACTGGAGAACTTGCAATGAAACAAAGAAATTACGCCATCAAATATAATTGTAGGATTGACTGAGTTATTGCAATAATTAAGTACAGATTTTAATAGTTTCACTTTTTCAGGTCATACATTTGCAGCAGGTGGTTTTTTAGCCATATCACATGATTTTCGGCTAATGACAAATGGAAGGGGTTGGATTTCATGGAATGAAATATTTATTCATAGAAGATTTACATCTTTTCTTTTGGAGCTTATGAGGTATGTCATATTTCAAGATATACTTTATTAAAATTGACATACATTTCTTGATATACATGAATATACACTTGCTAGAGAGTTCACTTCACAAGCAATTGTGACCGAACAACGATTGGGAGCGATGACAATATACGACCACATTTCCTGTGTCTATATAAAAACTGGTGCAATGATTCTAAAAGTCTATAGGGGTTTTCCTTACGGCTAGACACAAAATCTTGGACAGCTTGAAAAGAAAATCTCAATCTAGAGCAGCAGTAGAATATTTAAACGGTAGTGAAGATTGATAGGCTTTTTCCATATGGCTTAGCTAGATGAACAATGAACATCTTAGCTACATCATGGAGAATAGGATGAAATTTCAGTTCTCTTTTGAGATAACCTAATAATCAATCCTAAGGTGTTAAGCTCACATGCAGGGGTCTTTCATGTGGGTAGAAAGTAGAGTACCCGAAAAAAAAACATGAGGTTGAGAAGGTGCCCCTAGCTCCAAGGATAGTAATAATAATAGTCTATTTATATTGTACAGTATCCATGAATGAGCATGCTTTTAGCGTGCAGTCCAAAAATTGAATGTGTGGATGTGTATGCCGTGGATGATGGGTTTAGGGATGCCAACTTGAAATTTTTGTACATGGCAGTATGGCATTCTTGTAACATGACTATGAGCAAATCCGTAAGTGTATATAAAGTACAATATACTTTCTTTCTATTTCAGAAATATAATTAATTTTAATCAATTACAATTTACTTTCTTTTTATTTTTAGAAATAAATTAACAGCAGGACAAGCTAGAAATCAAGCTTTGATCTTTGGTAAACGTTTTACTGCAGAAGAAGCTAAAGATTGTGGAATTGTTGACGCTGTTACAGAACCAGCTAATGTTTTATCAGAGTCAATGCAATTCATTAATTCTGTTGTTGCTAATAAAAACTATGATAGAGATTTTATGAAAGTAATGAAAAGTGATGTGTACAGTCAAGTTCTACATGCCTCATATGATTATGTTAAATCCCCACTATGATGTAATATGTGAACAGGTGTTTGCCTTTTAATAAAAAGAAACTGTGATCAAATTTTAATAAATAATCTACCTAATGAAACTAAATCAAATATTATAGGCATAATATAATAATGTAAATTTAGAACTTAAAAATATGTTTCTTTGTGCATAATGAGTTCATTCTGACATCTATTGTTTATTAAAATATGCTTACAAAATATTTTGTAAGATATATTGTTTTATCAACAAAATATTTTTGCTATGATTTGGACATATTTTTCAATCAATAGTTATGTAGAATCCCAACTATTGTGGAAATAGTTATAAAGTGTAATGCCAGATTTTGTTGCCACATTAATAACGTATATATAGGGTGTTATGTACGAATACTTAATTCCCTAAAATCATTGTGAACTTCAAATCTGTACCCTTATCAGTGTGTTAGCTAAGATATACTGAGCGCCATGGAAAACGCATCACTTAGTTTTTCGTATAACAAAATGGTCCTGTAAACATATCTTATTTATTTTGCTTCTTATTGTGAACAATATTCAAATGGGAACACATCAATAACAACACATTTGTACACTTATGGATGTTTAATCTGTAATCAACGGTACAAAGTCAGAGGGGTCAAAACCAAAAGTATGACACAGATATCAGTAGCGTGTGTGTCCTCCACGGGCTCTTACGCACGCTGTGCAGCAACGTCGCATGGAATTTACCAATGTTTGAAAGAAGGCCTGGGGAAAATTGTTCCATTCTTGGACAAGAGCAGCTTCTAAAGCAGCAATGGTGTGCATCTGTGGTCTCCGATACAGACGGCGTCCAATCTCATTCCAGACATGTTCTATCGGTGCCATGTCCGGAGACATGGCTGGCCAGTCCAAGACATTGATGTTTTTAGCAGCCAGGTAGTCCATACTAAAACGGGCGGTATGCGGACGTGCATTATCCTGTCGGAAGTGCTGAAGTTGTGGGTGCGCTCGAAACATCGGAACAATAATTGGTTGCAAGACAGCATTAACGCGACCACTGCAAATGTGTAGGGCGGTCAGGTGATGAAATTTGAAGCCTCCCCACACCATTACACTTCCCCCACCCCATCGATTCGTCTCCCCAAAACGTCTCCACACACGTTGACGGCCATCAGCGTGATAAAGATGAAAGCGACTCTCATCACTGAGGAGCACACTTTGCCAGTCTACTCTTCTCCATGTCTGGTGTCCTTTAGCCCATATCAAACACCGCTGACGGTGAGGATCCCTGAGGATAGCTCCAACATAAGGTCGTCGTGCACAGAGTCCTACTTCTCTTAGACGACGTCTTACGGTGTTGGCACTTACTGGTCCTTGTCTTCCGACGACTGCTGCACCTGTTCGAGTCGCTGGGCGGAATCTGTCACGCAGATGAGTTACCCGGATGCATTGGTCTTGAGCCTGGGTTGTAACGCGTTGTGGACCAGGACGTTGACGGTCACGTGTTGATCCAGTAACTCGAACATGTTCCACCAACCTTACAATAGTGGACTGATGACAATTGAAGTGTCTGGCAATAGCACGTGTAGACATGCCAGCCCTGGACATTCCCATAGCTTCATTCCGTTGATTTTCAGTAAGTCTCGGCATCTCTAGCTCGATTCCTTCACACGTCCAACAACAAATTACGACAGATTGACGTTTCACATTTCATGTACTGCACATTAAGTTGAAAACATGCTTTTAAAGGGCTCACACACAATGCTGCACATGAATATTGGGTATTTCATGTGCATCTCGTGCAATTTTTTTTTTGCACACGGGCCGATATTTTTTGCGTTTGGGAGCATTGTGTGAAACAATAGTTTATAGTATTGCATAATATTATACATACAAAACCACCTAGTAATAAAATATTTGGGAAAAAAAAGTGATGCGTTTTACATGGCGCTCAGTATATTTATTATAATTTATGAAGGCATAATGTTGATGACAGATTATAAATGCCATCTATTCTCATATAATGTGCTATCAACAATTATGTCAAATGTTAACTTTAAAACTATACACAATAAAATTTAATAAAATAATCAATCCTAACATTCAGTTGGCATTTCTTTCTATTAATGTCATGCCATCATCTTGAATTTCTTGCATCTGTAATCATAAGGAAAATGATTACAGCCTCTTTTATGTGATATATTTCTATTTTGTGACAGGATGCCCCTGATGAAAATCAAAACTGCAGTTCCATACATGGAATCCATACACTTCTACCAATTGATCCAAAGGGAATTCCCCACAATCAAGTCAGTAGGTGTCCCCAGACTCAGCTATGCTCTATCCTAGATTACATCTGGAAGTTTTCGGAAAGAAGCACTACTCCCACACCTGAAAAGTCAGTGGACCCCATATTGTACGACAAATGTGATAGAATGCTCATGTAGGGAATCATACCAAGACGACCCCAGTTATGGAAGCCATACAACGGACAGGGGTATGACATAAGTCTGTCTGCCTGATGTGCTGTAAAGCTGTCCATATTGTTGCAGTTGAAAGGATAGCTAATGATCAGTTTGATTTCATTTCAAATCACTTCATAATAGTGTATTGTTAGATTTTTTAAATGTATCTCAAATAAAACTCTATTTATGGATAACAATTAGTGTACTATAGTTTATTAATCTTTGATGTTTCAACAAGATTTTACCCCATTCAAAGAATGCATTTTAGTGTAAATAGTAGAATTTTTTTGTTTTATAAATCTGACAATATTAGAACCATAACAAAGCCCAAATGTTTTTATGGTTGGGAGAAATAAATCGTTGGGGGGGGGGGGGGGGGGGGGGTAGCGTTATATCATCTGTTTGCAACTTTTTTGCAGCTAAAGACAGACTCTTTTCTAGAAATGTGTTTTCTCAACTAATTCTAAATGATTCAGCTCAAATAAAGTTTAAAAATTCATTGGAACTGAAGGGCAACTAAATGGTATCATAAGAACTAATGAAATAATCAGTTTTAAAACTCTTTAATAACTACAGACATATATTTTAAAAAATGTATATTAATTAACTAGTATATACCATACATCCTGTTCACACTTTCATTTAAAAACACACAAAAATATACACGTTATCACTCATACAGTTTTGTTCATACATGTAGGTTATAACTCAAATTCTAAAGGCTTGCATGGTTTTTGTATTCTAGGGTTATTTCTGTTAGCTGCTCGTCTAGCAAGACGCTAAAATAAAAGAAAATAAATCGTAATTACATAAATCTGAGCAATTTCAAATGTTATTATAAGTCGTAATTCAATATGCATTAATTTTTTTACGCCCACATGGAAATGTGGTCGTATATTGCCGTCGCCCCCGTGCGTCTGTCCACAATTTCTTGTGAACACTCTACAGACTACATTTATCATTTGATTGTTTTGAAATTGATATATTATGTTGTTTGCATTAGACAGATGAAGAATCCTATTTAATTTCAATAACTTCCGTTGATTTCTTCTGGAGTTATGGCCCTTGTTTCACCTTGTAAACGTGCTAACGACAAAAGTTATCAACAGATCTGTATGAAATTCATATGCATCATTTAAAATAGTAAAACAAAGAAGCCTATTGAATTTCAGCAATTTCCATTGGTTACATCTAGAGTTATGGCCCTCGTTTCACTTTGTTGAATCTTGTGGACGCTCTAATGACAACAGTTATCATCCGATCTGTTTGAAATTGATATGCATCATTTAAATTAGTGCAATGAAGAAGCCTATTGAATTTCAGCAATTTCCGTTAATTACGCTGTGAGTTATGGCCCTTGTTTCACTTTGTTGTACCTTGTGAATGCTCTAACGACAAAAGTTATTATCCGATCTGAATGAAATTTATATGTATCATTTAAATTAGTAAAATGAACAAGCCTACTAAGGTTCAGCAAATTTCCATTAATTACATATAGAGTGATGGCCCTTGTTTCACTTTGTTGAATCTTGTGACCGCTCGAACAACAAAAGTTATTACCCAATCTGTATGAAATTCATATGCATCATTTAAATTAGTGAAATGAAGAAGCCTATTGAATTTTAGCAATTTCCGTCAATTACTTCTAGAGTTATGGCCCTTGTTTTACTTTGTTGAACCTTGTGAACGTTCGAACGACGAAAGTTATCATCCGATCTGTATGAAATTTATATGCATTATTTGAATTAGTAAAACGAAAAAGCCTGTTGAATTTCAACAATTTCTGTAGATTACTTCCAGAGTTGCAGCCCTTGTTTTAGTTTTTAGAACCTTGTGAACCCTCAAACGAAGAAAATTATAATGTCATCTGTAGGCTATGAAATTGTCTATTAAATGCCCTTAATTACCTACAAAATAATAAATATGCGACAACCCTTGTCGACTGCTCGGACGATTTAGCTGCTGTGGGCGTATGTTTTGTTTTTGATCATTCATTGATTTGATTAAAATGCTGGATAAATTTAGAAAATAACTTACTTCTTTTTTCAGACACTTTCTTAATTCTCTATCAACATCATTACACATTCCCATAAATTTACCAAAAGTATTCTATAAAATAAACATATAAATCTATAATATAAAATATATTAAACATTCTAGTTTTGAAAAATAAACAAGTGACCCTGAAGTCATCCACCTCAATCCCAAAATAAATGTTCTAAAGTCTTGGCAAATCAAATTGCTTATCGCTGCTTAGACTAAGCAGAAAATGCTCATCATTGAAGTCAGTTGAAACCTTCAGATAAAGAACAAGTATGGTACATCAAGTTTAAACACTGTACCTTAATCAAAAGTAGAGGTAGTGCTCCAAAAGGTGTGGCCGACAGATGAACAGCTACTTAGTCTAATGTTCATCATCAAGACATTCACACAAAAAACATGTACCGGTACACTAAGTTTGAACATTCTACGTTACTTAAAAGCACAGTTATTGTGTCCCAAAATCTCAGCCATGAGCCCATTACAATTGCTTATTTCTGCTTAGAGTAAACAGAAAATCCTTGTACTGGGTCAAGGAATTCACCTAATGAAAAACTAAATGAAATGAAACCCAGATGTACTTGTTCCCATGGTATTTCACTTTCAAAATCTTTAATACCTTGATACAGCTTATGTTACAACAGTGGGTTTAATACCTCCATTGATTTACCCTGGATTTTAATACTGTGGTTTTATACTTTATGAAACCACACTTAGAACGACTACCATAGCTTTATTCACCATTAACTAACGAGACTCTTCAACTTGGGGATTGTCATGAATCGGTAAAATATATTTTCAAGGGTTTTTATATATGGAGTGCCTGTGTAAAATAATTTGCTGTGAAAAGCCCAGTGTTTGAATTTTCAATAATTAAGGTTAGAAAATCAGATTATTTTTAATATGGTATAATATTGATAGTTCCTCTTTAATATCTCGGACAAATCTGTAGTATGATGATGGACTCAAGATTTATCAAACTTTCTTTGTCAATGTGAATACAAATAATATATTATCTTTTATACTTTTTTGCTGTGATGCACAATCCTGATACTTTATATAAATATATGCAGTCACTATTGGCTGTTCTATGTAATAAAATATTATCTTGTTACCTCCTTATGGCAATTTTGAAGTGCACTAATTAGTTTATTACATTCCTCTGTATGCAGATGACTGGATAAATCCGGATGCATAGTAATATATTTCTGAAAATAACTATAGAATATTGCCAATTTAATTGCATAGTAATAATAGTATTTATCTTTGCTTGACAATAATGATATGAATGAATGAATGTATAAAATGTGATTTAGTATCCTACTTTTTTGCACCAATTGGGCATATGCTATAAAGTATACAATGGGAGAAATTTAGCCCAGACAGTAATTAATTCCAACTACTGGTATAAAGTTTTTTTTGCCATCCCATAAACAATTTTCCTTGCCAGGCAATAATGATATACATATGTCAGTGATTTCCAGCTTTTTAACCAATTTAAATTTTATGCACCAATTGGGTATACACCATGCAGTGTGCTTTGAGGGAAATTTTGCCCGAAACTGTCTAGGTTTCTTTTTTATTGCACGCCTTGTGTACATGAGGCTACATGCATATTAAAATGATATTAAAATATATAAAATATGTAAATTAATTTGTCTTTTATTCATGGTGGGTGGGTAATTTTAACGCATGATTAAAGTCTCCCTCTTTTGACTTTAATTCTCCTGACATTTTTACAAAAATCTCCTGACATTTTACTTGTGGCCAATCACATGTATGCCAAATGACTAGACAGCTGCCCTTATATCAGGCCCTCCGTCTTGCACCATGACATGGGGAAACACCCCGGAAAATCCCAAGGAACTTTCTCATTTAACTTCAGGAGTGAACCATGCAGAGACCTCCAGGCTAGCGAGCCAGCATCTCTGAGCCAGAGTGGCTCCTTGTACACTTACATATTATGAACATGGCTTCTGAGCGATGATGATACAGTTTGACAACAACAATGTCGATGAAAGTTATATATAATAAAGCACAGTTTCCATGCTTTTATTATGTCTTTATCTCACTCTCACCGATGGATCTGTTTCAAGTTTTGTATTAAATTTAATTTCAACACCCCCACTATGTTACTTTACATGTAAACTTACGTTTTTAACGAATACAACTTTAGTAAGTATAAATAAGATGTTATAAAACAAGAAAAATCGACTTCCGCTGTGAACTACGTCATCAACTTATGTGGTCAATTTATACCATTGATTCGTTTTCTGCATTATAAGGCCACAAATCACTAATGATTTCCCCATTGACTTTAATGTTAATTCTCGTCTCTTAGACCGGCTCTAACTTTTTCCTAAATTTTCGTTGGGTTGAACGCTTTCTACCACAGATGGAGCAATATGTGGCAACCTCTTGCCCAAAAGCACGTATGAGTTTCACCATGGAAAACTTGAGATACACAAGCTGGAAGTAAAGACAAAAAAAACATGCGATTTTTGACCCTACATTTCAACCTAACCAACCTCTCAACTCTTGTATCATTCCGCCTCAAAATCGTGAATATTCACCAAAACCTGGCAGAAAATAATATATTTTCAAACCCTTTTCTTCGATTCTACACCAAAAAGCCAACAAAAATCGCCATGCAAAAGGGGTAAAAAGGAAAAGGGAGAGAAAGACTAAATATAACTTTCGCCCTACACATTAGAAATATTTGGTGAGCAGTGTCCAATGACGTCTATACTAACGACGTCATTGGCTGTGTCCATAAGTTTATAACCGAATACTAGCGTGATAATCGAAGCTTGTTGTGCACGACAAGCACTATTTATAAATATCAAAGCGACGATCCGCAGACATCCGTGAATACATCACCAAGAATCTGTGGCAATTAAAGGAGCTAATTAAATCGCTAATATTTGGGATCTAAAAATTGACAAGAGTGGGTCGCAACGCATATAATACTGTAATATGAATGTATATAAACTGATTTACATTCAATGGTTTCCGTTTTTACTTCAATTTCAAATCAGTTGGGTGAGTTATGTTCGGCGAAATAGGCCAGCAGTCTCAATCGAGTGCAAATTTCTAGCGTCTGGTTATTCCAGTCTACATACGCCGTTTGATTTGGTGCAATGTGTCTAGCCTCGTCCCTCGAGTCTCTTGTTACAACTGGGGCTGAAACGCATTATGGTGCACGATTCGTGTACCAATGGTAAAATGTTTATTTTGTCTTACATATTGGATATCAAAAGCCCATCTTTTTCCGGTAACATCACAACATCAATGTTGATTTAATTTGACAAATAAATCGTGTTTTCAATGTTAAGAAGATTTTGGATGATATTGAGTTAGAGATTTAGCTACTTTAAAATTTTAAATCCAACATTTGCGACAGCTAAGCTTTTTGGGGGTTAATTTATACCTTCCAAACTTACTATCTCACAATTATCTCTCTCTCCTTCAAAGTTCAAACCCAAACGTAATGTTTAATCAAAGAGATCGACACTTAAACTTTAAACGTATGGGCCTAGCCGTTTTTAAAGTAGATTGACTATCATCATCAATCAAGAGCCACATGATTATCATCCTCGGTTATCCAGTGTACTCATTCCGTTCTACTCATGGAGGTGTATATATATATATACACCTCTATGGTTCTACTCCACTATACCCTGGGTTAATCCATAGGGTTTCCACGATTTCAAATTATCTGCCCTGGCCTAGAATGTAGCTACAATCTACGAACCAATCAGAAAACAGTTTACAAACCAATCGTTTCGCCTTCGTTTTTATAAGGGTAGATAACCATATTCATGTCCATTTACTGAATGATTTTTGTAAATAATGTATATATTTATACTTTATTTATATTTAATTGTATTATCAAAATCTGTAGTATGTGTTGTTGATTTCAAATATGTATAACATCTATATGTTTGACTTTTGTTATTATTATTACTATATATTCTTTCTTTGTCTGAAATATGTCATTCTGTTATGTTTATTATTCTTGAACTTATACTTGGCAATTTGATTCACAAAAACTTGACTACGATATTATCACGTAGACATAAACTTCCAGGAACGAATGAACGATTCTAAATAAAACTGACCCTACGTTATTATATGAACATAATAAACGTCTGGTCTTCATTAACATAATATATACTGAGCGCCATGGAAAATGCACCACTTTTTTTTCCCAAATAATTTATTACTAGGTGGTTTTGTATGTATAATATTATGCAATACTATGAACTATTGTTTCACACAATGCTCTCAAATGTAAAAAATATTGGCCCGTGTGCACAAAAAAAATTGCACGAGATGCACATGAAAAACCCAATATTCACGTGCAGCGTTGTGTGTGAGCCCTTTAAAAGCATGTTTTCAACTTAATGTGCAGTACATGAACTGTGAAACGTCAATCAGTCTTAATTTGTTGTTGGACGTGTGAAGGAATCGAGCTAGAGATGCCGAGACTTACTGAAAATCAACGGAATGAAGCCATGGGAATGTCCCGGGCTGGCATGTCTACATGTGCTATTGCCAGACACTTCAATTGTCATCAGTCCACTATTGTAAGGTTGGTGGAACGTGTTCGAGTTACTGGATCAACACGTGACCGTCAACGTCCTGGTCCACAACGCGTTACAACCCAGACTCAAGACCGCTACATCCAGGTCACTCATCTGCGTGACAGATTCCGCCCAGCGACTCGAACAGGTGCAGCAGTCATCGGAAGACAAGGACCAGTAAGTGCCAACACCGTAAGACGTCGTCTAAGAGAAGTAGGACTCTGTGCACGACGACCGTATGTTGGAGCTATCCTCAGGGATCATCACCGTCAGCGGCGTTTGATATGGGCTCAAGGACACCAGACATGGAGAAGAGTAGACTGGCAAAGTGTGATTTTCAGTGATGAGAGTAGCTTTCATCTTTATCACGCTGATGACCGTCAACGTGTGTGGAGACGTCTTGGGGAACATCTTGCAGACTGCTGCGTCTTCAAAACGAATCGATGGGGTGGTGGAAGTGTAATGGTGTGAGGAGGCTTCACATTTCATCACCGGACCGAACCACACATTTGCAGGTGTCGCGTTAATGCTGTAGCCTACCGTGATGATGGCCCGTGGAGGACACACGCGCTACTGACATCTGTGTCGTACTTTTGGTTTTGACCCCTCTGACTTTGTACCCTTGATTACAGATTAAACATCCATAAGTGTACAAATGTGTTGTTATTGATGTGTTCCTATTTGAATATTGTTCACAATAAGAAGCAAAATAAATAAGATATGTTTACAGGATCATTTTGTTATACTAAAAACTAAGTGATGCGTTTTCCATGGCGCTCAGTATATAATTAGTTGTTAATAATTACGCATTTATAATAAGCCAACTCCTAACATTGCCCGATAAGAGTTACTTCCCTTTGCCAACTTCCTTTTCAAATAACAATTTATGGGATTGGTCGATAAAAATAGCACAATCATCAAGGGCGGATAACTTGAAAACGTGTCTCCCCCTTAGATTAACCCAGGGTATAGTGGAGTAGAACGGAATGAGTACACTGGGAAACCGAGGATGCATGATTATCCTCTTTTGTCTTTTTTTTTATTGCCAAAAAGTCCAATTGTAGTTATATAGACTTCCAAAATTGATCTCCATGACCGAAATACAAATCATTATCATACTGATCGATTCTGTTATTGAATTTATATAATTACCCTTCTAGTAGCTACAGTGATTAAAAGTACAATTGAATACATATCGCTAAAATTAGAATTTGATTGTAATGAATGTAATGAAAATGGTAATTAATTACTTTTGCAGAATAATGGCCTCATGCATCTGAATGTTTATAAAATAACAACACACAAACCTCAAAACAATATATCAGTTTTATTTCATGAAACACATTCATGTTTAATTAATAAGTTGGAAAATCATCATTATTTAAAATGCCCCACCCCACCCCCCAAAAAAACAAACAAACATTTTTTTAACAACAGATATAACACATATAAAAAACGACAAACATAATAATTGGCACAATATTACATAAATTGAAACAAAACATACCATTTGGAGACCACAAAAAGGGGAAGTATCAGTTTTCAGAAGAAGCTTCTACTACATGTACTTCCTTCAGTCTAGGACTCTGGCAAAATACAATGTTACAGAACTTAAAGATACATTATGGGAGATTAGATAAAGAGCTGTCAGTTCTTACTATAATAGTTAAAAACTAGATAATGTAAAGGGAATTTGCTGAAAATTTCAGTCAAATTGATCCACTCTGAACCAAGATTTTAGTGATTGAATTTTTGGCCTAGCCTCGATCATCATTACTAAAGTCGGTATGATAACAAACATAGTCTCGATTATCCATTTCATGATTAAATCATGAATGGAAGTCGAGCAGCAAATCGGAACCTAATCCAATAAACATCGCAGGCTAGCGATGACATCAAGAGTTGATTATGGTCTGGATAAGTTAATTTATGTCTAATTAATAATTTAGATAACATTTCAGGCCTAAAGACCTGCAATAGGCAGATTTAGCTCCGGATATATGTAATTACAATAACATTTTTTATGGATAACATGCGTCTATATTTATCATCACATATTAGTGATTGTCAACTGGAAAACTGAGTCAGGATGCATGTATTAGCATGTTAGCCAAGGTGTTATAGATTTTATTATACAATATGGAAGCATATTTAATACCACAAACAGACATACATGTACTTATATTTATCAATTAGTGATTGTCAACTGGAAAATTGAGTCAGGATACATTAGCCAAGGTGTTATAAACTTTATTATATAATATGGAAGCATATTTAATACCACAAACAGACATACATGTACTTAGATATAATATAAATATACTATACAAAAATTGCATTATGCTAAAATGTTTATGTAAATATAGATGCAGTAGACTGAATCTGTATATAAATAATTAAAATATAATTAATGCTTTGTTAAATACCATTATACATGTAGTTAATAATAAACTTTGATTAAACATATTGGAGCATATTCAACTGCTATTTTTTTATAATATTTTTCTTTTTTTATGTCACAATATCCTTATAAAACCTCAGTGACAATGATCCTTTTTCTTATTTAAATGTAACAAAATTACAAACCCAAAAGGTTTCTTTAAATACATAAGTAATGTAAACCATTAAAACAAAGATTATGGTAGATGCTACATGTATCTAGAGCTCTATGTTTGTGGATAGAAATCAAATATCTTCAGGTGTGCCTAACAGTATTCCAGAAAAGGAAGATGGCAGCATTAAAATCAAATGAGAATTTTAGTTAGCCAACATTTAACTCTTGTTTAGGATTAATTGATTTGAATAATTATTGGACCAATATTCATTTTAATAAGACTTCGTTGTTGTGCCTTCAATGTAATTAAATATATTGGTACATCCCAGGCTGTTAATACTGAGAGCATAAACAGTATGTGCAATTAGATCACAGCAGTAGTACCCTTTATACCAATTTTCCATATGATTTATGTCACAGAATATTGATTGGGTCTATATGTACATTACATTATCAGAGTAATTGACTTATAATAATGTTAATCTCATAACAGTCAGGGATTATCTGTATTATATCTAAAAATAGTTCTGCCTTTTAGTCCAGTGTATGCTCTTCAATATTATTTTGTTTTTTATAATTGTTCCAATGAGGAAACTGACAATTGATTCTTTTTTCTTCCCAAATGAAATAGACAATCCTAAAATTACATTTTTTTCATACCAAACTGATGTAAAACACAGTAAATATCAAATCAAATTCAGAACCCTACTGATCATAAAAATGCACATAAATTAAATAGAATGTTAGGTAATATACATGTATTTATATTCCAGCATGTATTTTGACTTGTTCTGTTACACATGTATATTTATATTCTAGTATATATTTTGACCTGTTTATATATTGTATGATATTATATACACACTATTCTTAATATTATAATTATTTAGGAAGCTAGAATATAATAAATCTAAATTAAGATAATAATGAATACTGTTTGGCATAATGTTTGTTTATACTCTTAAAGATTACAATAACTTTATTGACATAAAATCTTAATACTGAATACTTATTGTTAAACAAACAGCTGACTGGAATGTATGTAATTAGAAATATGACCTTTCTTTTCAGACAACAATCAACCATATTTTTATATTAACACTCTTTTATACTCCACTTTTTCTGTTGCTCCAAATAAAACATGGTTTAAGTACATGTACTTACATGTCAGTTTATTGTCAGATTACATACACATGTACAAGTAATACACACATTTTATTAAATCTTTTAATCATATGTCACAAACTTCGAACCTGTATTTTGGGCTGAATATCTAACATTTTTGGTGTCAACATCTACTAAAGAGGCATTATCACTTTCAACAAGGGAATGAGAGCAAGTGTACCAGAAATCTCACTTATTACACATACATATATTTAATATATAATTCTTAAAACATTTAACCATACAAATGTTTAAAGAAATTGGCATGATTATTATAACACAATTAAACATCATGTCAAATATTTTGATATACTTTGTACATGTAAAGGAGCTATCCCAGATTTATTTTAGTGAAAACTGGTTAATTTGGAACGAAAGACTATAAAAAATATGTATTCATGTCCTATACATGTATACAATAATCTGAAATTCTGTGACACTTTTTCTAAGATATATAACTTTCAGTTTACATGTGACCTTGGTTATAAGTCAAAAAATTCCATGCTGTTTAAGTGGAAACCATGTTCTTATCTACAGCAGTTATATGTTATCAAGTATACATGTAAGTAACAGTAATTTCCAAAAAGCACAATATTTGATATGAAATTTTCAGACATGGTAAATAATATACATATGAGTCATTTTGAAATAAAACCCCACCAAAAATATTCATAAATTTTGTTTTTATTATAGGCCTTACTTAAAACAGGGAACCGTACACAGATTTTTGTCAAAAATTTATATTTTTATGAAAGCTTCTAGTGTAATTTTATGACTTTTATGATATTTTTCGATACCGATAAGAACACCCCACCAGTAGCACTGGTGGTATTATTGGTCGCAGTCATCTTCTCCTATGTTCATATACCCACATAACATTGACTGAACACTGTCAAACAGAAAATGAAAGAGTAGCGGATGTATTTGTACGGTATAGAAATTTATTATTTTTCGTCTCATTTTATGATAATTTTATAAGAAATGACGAAATTTTATGAAAATATAAATGTTTTTATATTGTATGGTCCTCGTTAGAAATATATGGCAATGTTCAGAAATTCTTGAGCAATATACATTTATGTATGTGTTTTGACTATGGGGAAAGAGCAATAATGCAAATGAGCTTACATGTATATATCATGCTAGAATTATTATTGTTTAAGAAGACGTTGAGATGTGAAAGTTACAGGAATTCTTTTACCAGAAACTTCAGGTAGTTCAGCTATATTGTCTGATTCCAGTGCATTACCATCTAAGTTTGAAGGATTCCATAATTTGTCAAGTGACTTCCGATGAGAACCGGTTGTAGTGTATTTGAGAATTGCACTTTTCTTTTTGACAGAAGAAGCAGAGGGTTTTCCAGTTGTTATAATGTGTTTCCCTTTGCCCAAAAGATATGAATCAAACTTTTCAGTATTGTCAAACTTTTGTAATTGCTCTGAATCGATTCCTTCAAATGCAATGGAGGTATGATTGTTTATATATGTCGTTGTAGTAGAACCATTGGCTTTGGATTTAGATTCACTCTTGCCAATACCTATTTTGATTCTTTGCTTTGGAGTTACTTTTTCCAGTGGTCGAAGATTATTAGACACAGTATTAGATGCTATAGAACTTGTCTCTTTATGAAGATCAGCACTAAATGTAACAGAGTTGCCTTTCTTATTTTTACCATTTTCAGATCCTGATGGGCTTTCAAAAATGTTTTGTTTAGGATTTTTCATATTCTTTTTAACAGAATACTCTAACTGATTCAGCTTAGAGTCAAGGCTTTCCATGAACAGATCAGTTGCAGATTTTGAAAGCAGTGGTCTTATATTGTCCGGCTCAACATTCAAAGTACATTTGAGAGAAGGCCTTACAAGAGCACCATCAGAATTAGTACTTCTTGATCTAACTTCAGGTTTTTTTCTCGAAATTCTCTTTTGGCTACGACTTTCTCTGGTTTGCTTTGGTTCTGGTTCTTTGACTGGTACTTTTTCTGGTTTAATTTTTCTAATAGTGTACCAGTCTCTACCAACTTGGGAAAACTTATCCAACCTGTATTTGCCATTATTAGGAACATATCTAAAAGTAGTAGGCTCGACTGAGGCACGCCATGGTTTTAAATGGTGATCACTGTCATCATCATTAACACATTTTACAACTCCATTAGATTCTTGATCTACGGTCTTACGCTTTCTTAGCCCTGTAACATATTTTGGATAAGGTGGTAGTGATTTCCATCCACACACAGCTTCAGACCAGTCCTCTGAACAGATAGTATCATTTACGATTGACAAAGACGATTGAAAATCATCAATGTTCAATAAATTCTCAGTTTTCAATCGATCAGCATCAATATTTTTTCCATTTCCTTCACCATCAGAATTCAAATACACCACCTCAGCTTTATCTGAATTAATATTTAGGTTAATAGTTTCACCATTGTCTTCAATTTTGACATTTTCTCCAATTGTTGGTTTGATACAAGACATGACAAATTTCACTGATTTGGCTCCAACTACTAGCAAGTTTTCTACCTGTCAAAAACATCTCAAACGTAAGATCTGACATCACACAATAATATCCCATTAAAACAATCAACCTTTGTTCATAAAACAGTTAATATATGTTCACAAGCACAAAGTCTTTGCACAGACTCGACTTTTCCATTAGCTCTATCTGTCAAAATCAAAAGTGGGACAAAAGTCACGTGTTTTTGTTTACATTTTTGGAAACATTGTTGAAATTGACAACATCGTATGTATTATTACAAAAAAAAGTAGAAGTAGGTCAAGTGTGAATATAAGCACAAGTCTGTCACAGCCGCACATACACTATTGGGTATGTTATGTATTAACTGATACGAGAACATTTTTATGTTTCCATTTCATTAACAGATTTTAGTTCAGTCTGGTCAAGCAACCACCTGCATCTTTCTAAAACTCCAGGGCAACCACTGAAGCCATTGTTTCGTAAATTATTAAATATGAAAAAAAGAAGAGGAAAAAACATCATCGAATCGTTTCTGTAAGGTGCTGCTTTCTTGTATGATTTTGGTCTATGCTATTATCCTGAAGTCATACACATAATAATTATAATTGTTTGTTTACACAATAATTTACGCAAGCAAACATTTCTGCTTTCTCACTGAATCGTGTAGAACTCACTGCGCATGTACTTTCACTGCCCGCCTTGGGTTCGCAGAAGAACTCATTCAGTTTTAGTCTTTAGTTTATTAATACTTCTGCCATGTTGCGACGCAAAACCCAAAAAGAGAGCATGAAGAAGTCAGTATTCCTCACCCATGAACAATGGCAGTACACAGGAAAATCTTATAAACGAATTGGCCAGGTTTGTATGGGTCTATTACGCACACTCTGCTTCCTCTATTCGACTTTGAGGTTCTCTACACTTTTGACCGAAAGGTCGTGTCAAACTTTATTGCGAGAATTTCATGCATTCCGTATTTTCTTTTAAGGCGGATTAACATATTTCCATTCACCATTCCCCAATAATTAGTAATAACTTCGTTATTATATTCCTTAAACCACAATCTTTATAAATAATTAGCTGTAAAATACGAAAAATAATTCATCATTCTACAAACAAGTATAAAAAAGGAAAGTAAACATTCTTTTAAATCATTAGATGTGTACATTTTACAAACACAGAATAAATGATTTTGATATAGAATAAAACTAGCACAATATACATTAATATAGCTTGTATGAAATTAAATGTATAGATACTTTGTTCCACAATAAAACCATAAATTAATAAGCTTACAATCAGGTTTTCAGCTCTGATAATGACAATCTTGAGCCATTTTGGTTGATGTAAAAAAAATGTGATTATACTCGTCCCCAGAGAAGATTTTTTAATCATGTCGCATAGGCTATGGAACACTGGAATCGCGAGATATAGTCCACTCTTTTTTTGTCAACTAGTGGTTTACTTTTCTTAGACTAGAATTAGAAAAGGTTATCTCATAACCAGGAACCATGGTGGCTCAGTGATTAAGACATTGGCTTGCTAACCCAGAGGTCCCATGTTCAAATCCCTATGTTGGCTGAGAAAGTTTATTGGGATTTTCCATCATGGTTCCCCCTTGTCAGTTGTGTAGGACAGAGCCTGGCAAGGGACAACGTATAATCCATCGGATGAAATGAAAAAACAAGCCCCTTTGTACACATTGTCATGAATGTACAAGATCCCTTGGCAGTAAGATGACCTTGATTAGACTGGCAAGTGTAGAATGTAGGAAAATATTTCCGTGCTATTATGAGAAGACCCAAGATATTTAATTATCAGATGACTGAAATTTCTGAGATTAGGAATGGCACGGCACTGGACGAGTGGATGTCATTTTTACCAACAGCAATATGGTGCTTAGCTGTCTTGATGTCCCTGTAACCTCGCTGTGCTACAAGCGATTCATGTACTCATAAGATGAAAGGCATCTGTCAGTTAATTCTACATACATGTCATAACATATTCAATGAGCTATTATTGGGCATCTATAAAACTTACTGAAAAACACAGGCTGTCCAGTAAAACGTGTTCATCCAAAATCACATTCCCCTAACTGTGTACATTTATACTCATCACTATGTTGGTCATTGTTGGGATATGTCAACATATGTATTATAACTCAAAATCAAATAGAATGTTGCAGTGTTTTTCGACAGGGTCCGTTGGGAAATAGAACCAAATATTATGTTTAAGGACAACTTCGAGAACTACATAACAAATGAAATGAACTATTATTGACAATAAATGAAATATACTATTCAAAAAAAGTAGGGGATATTTGATTTTGGGGGCATAATACTAAAATATGCAAATGACTACGAAAAAAGTCACTATAGAACCTAACAGAAGAAACATTTCCAGTTACATGTGACGCCCAAACGCACCAATAGCTACCGCATGGAATGCAGGTGATGCTTGGGATCATCATGGGGGTCCAACCCAAGATTTGCACGACTCTGACTTTGAATGTTACAGTCATTGTGGCATTGAATTCCAGGGTGGAAACATCAGTTTAATTGTTTTAGTGACCAGAAAACAAATTTTGATATGCGTCGGCTTACCCAAAATGAAAGGTTACGTGCCCTTGGCATGCTACAGATCGGCACAACACAGGCGGTTGTGGCGCGGACGATGAATGTTTCTCAGTCTGTCATAAGCAGGCTATGGTCCAGATACCGTGATACACAATCTGTACAGGACAGACCACGCTCAGGTCGACCAAGGGCGACAACTCAAGCCCAGGATCGATTTATCCGTACCTTGGCCTTGAGAAATCGTGTCATCTCAGCAAATCAGATCAGCGCTCGTCTTCAAACAGACACTGGTGTGAGAGTGAGTGGCCAGACGATTCGGAATCGACTGCATAGGGGTCACCTTCGCGCCCGACGTCCTCGCGTGATCCCTTGTTTGAGAGATCATCACATTCAGGCAAGACGTCGTTGGTGTAGGGATCGTCAACACTGGGATAATCGACGCTGGAGCAATGTGATGTTTTCAGATGAGTCAAGGTTCACTGTTGATTTTTTGGACAGACGTAGGAGGGTGTGGCGTCGTCGAAACAAGCGCTTCCAAGACGTTAACGTCATCAGACATGATCGATTTGGGGGTGGTTCTGTTATGGTGTGGGGAGGCATCACTGTTGCTGGAAGAACGGCTTTACATGTTGTTGCAGGGCGTGTTACAGGCCAGTACTACCGGGACAACATCTTGGCAGTCCATGTTGTGCCGTTCGCACGACGTCATGGCCGCCGTTTCATCTTCCAGGATGACAACGCAAGATGTCACAGGGCCAGGATCGTTACAGGTTACCTCCAACAACAGAACATCACCACATTACCTTGGCCAGCACCGAGTCCCGACCTCTCCCCCATCGAGCATGTCTGGGACATGCTTGGACAGAGGTTACGTCAACGTCAACAACGTCCTGCCAATGTCCAAGAACTTGCTGCTGCGTTGCAACAGGAATGGGACAATCTGGACCAAAATGACCTTAGACGTCTCATTAGGAGTATGCCACGTCGGATCAATGCTTGTTTGGCAAACAGAGGAGGATTTACCCGTTACTGACTTGGTTGTGATGCTGTGGTAACTTTGCTGTTTGACCCCGGGTATCATTTTACCCTTATAATGGTCAGTCTGTGCCGTACTTAGTCTAACGATCATTTGGAATAAATCGATGAATGTGAACTTCATTTCATTTTGTCATTTGTTTCTTCGTCAGTTTCATTAGGTGACTTTAATAACACTTAAAAATCAAATATCCCCTACTTTTTTTGAATAGTATATATAAAATTTTGTTTGGTGTGGAATCCTTGCTCGTTAGTACTTAAATGTGGATGATATTACTGTTCGTACATGTACATAATAGAATCTTTAAGTGAGGTGTTATAACACATAAGGCAAAATCAAGTTTTTATACCAAGACATGAGAACCCAACACTTTGAATTTGAGAGAATGGGTTGGTTGCAAACCATGATTTTACTGGGCAGACATTGGGGTATAGAATGTGGCTTTTAAAAAGCTATGGTCAGTCCACATGTGTCTCTTAATGTTCTGTGGAAGATGCAATGATATGGTTGACACCTGATGAACACTGAGAACACATCATGTTATTTCAAGAAACTCCCCGAGTCGTCACCCTAAAGGATAGATGCCATCGCACTACATGTAACTTGACACTGGCAGTCACATATCCAACATCTTTATATTCTAGGGCTGCCGACAATCAACATCGCAGCGCAATTTGTGATACACATTTTATCCGTTGCTAATCAAAAATTAAACTGCGAATCATTAATATGCCTGTCATTTTTGGATATTGACACAAAGATCATCCACATTTTGAAGGCTAGAAAGAAGGCTTTTTCAACACTTTCATTGTGTATAAAATGTCAAATAAGATTTAATAAACAAAATAGATGATGAAAGAAGAATATATTGAAAATTTAAGTCAAATTACTTTATTCTGAACATAGTTATCACCAGTGTAATTTTTGACTAGAAATGGGATTGAATTCCATCTTCACCCATTCTTAATATGGCTGATCGTTTGATTGACAGGTGTTAACTCCACCTACATAATCTCTGCTGTCTTTTGTCTGCTGTCATCATATCCGAATTTGTGTTTTACCTTTTTGGATTTTTATACGCCCACATTGAAATGTGGTTGTATATTGTCGTCGCCCCTGTCCGGCGTCCACAATTGCTTGTGGACGATCTAGAGGCTAAAGTTAATATCCGATTGACTTTAAATTGATACAGTGTTTAAGGTCATGAAACGAAGAATCCTATTGATTTTCAGCAATTTAAGATAATTCTTGCCAGAGTTATGGCCCTTGATCACTTTGAAAAATCTTGTGGATGCTCTGGAGGCTAAAGTTAATATTCGATTGACTTTAAATTTATTAACAGTGTTTAAGGTCATGAGACGAAGAAGCCTATTGATTTTCAGCAATTTCTGATAATTACTGCCCTTGATCACTTTGAAAAATCTTGTGGACGCTCTAGAGGCTAAAGTTAATATCCGATTGACTTTAAATTTATACACAGTGTTTGAGGTCATGAAAATAGAGTCATATTGATTTTCATTGATTTCGGATAATTACTGCCAAAGTTATGGCCCTTTATCTCTTTGAAAAATCTTGTGACGCTCTAGAGGCTAAAGTTATCCGATTGACTTCAGATTGATACACAGTTTAAGGTCTGGAGATGAACAAGTATATTGATTTTCAATGAATCTTTATGACTTGAACAGCTAAATCCATGATGTTAATAGTTTCGTATACTAAACGTTAGCATGGGACAGAACTTTATAAAAACCAAACAAATTCTAATGGTTTTCTGATAATTACTTTATGAGTTGTTACTCTTAATCAGATTTTAATGTATTATAAATGTTTCATTACCGAAAAAAAGTAAAAATATGCGACAACTCTTGTTGACTGCCTGGACGATATAGCTGTGTCGGCGTATGTTTCGTTGCCTGGCAACCTATCTTTATAACAATTGGACAAAATGAGTGAGATGGGTAAATTTTCATTCTTACTTGTATTTCGGGCATGCATTAAATCAATTAAATATAGGACATAATATTATAATTCAATTATGATAAATCTATAGGTATACACCAGTGGGGTTGTGTCTATTGGGGAAATAAAAATATTTTTATTGATATTAAGACAGAAGACCTGTCCCGTCTGTATTAGTCATCACATGGTCTCCAGGAATTGTATAATTTGTCATTATCTGTGTTTAGTTTATTGCACTTTAAATAGTTTAGATGTCATTTGTTAAGGCATCCCTCAACAGTGGCCTCTCTTCGTACACTCTATCATTTAGACTCGATCCGGGAGTATGACGTCAATGTAACGGTTTATCTCTGCTCACGACGCCATTTAAAATTAAATCAGTCAACGAAATCCTGTTTAAATCCAAGCTGAATCCAAGCCATCCGTGGGTCTACAGAGTTGATTTTGTGCTTGTTGTGTAAATAAAGATCTAATTTATAATTTCTATGACATCTAAAGCCTAAATAAAGACTTGCAATAATCATATTTAGCTCTTGCAAAATGTATGTTTAAATAATTCCAAAATTTTAATGGAGCCACCACTTCCGTTTTTATTTTCGACCAACCAGACCCCTCTATGTATAGAGTGTTTAATAAGTCTCGATGGCCTAACTTTATTGTTATTGGTAATATGTCGTTATATTAATTTATTATTATGGTGTTGTGTTTGACAAAGTTTGTCAGATCTTTTTTAACAGTAACTTTGTTTTTACTAGTCATAATTAAAGTCATATAACACTAAAAAAAAAAACTTGTTTACAAATTACATCAATATGTTTGATATCTTCTCTAGCTTCCAAGTATTCCTATAAAATAACCATAAATCAGTGCATTCTTAATACAGTGTTTAAAAGAATAAAAAAAAAAACGAAACCGAGGTTTTTTGCCACAGAAAAACCGAAACCGAAAGAAAATTTAAAAACTGCACATCACTATTTTCTAAGCAAGATTTCTAACCTACATGTAACAAAGAAATAACATTTAAAATGAGTGGGGCTTCGGAAACCACTGCCAAGAATTGGCATCAGACATAAGACCTGACCAAAAGTCTACATCATATTCACAAACTGTCACAACTACACTGTACATGTGGCACTGGCAGTGCTTTAAAAAAAAAAAAAAAAAAATCGAAGAATGAAATCTAATCATTTTCCAAATTTGATTAGCAGTTTTTCAGTTTCAACATAAAACACCTAAATAACAAGATTATTTTAATTTTAATTTATAACAAATGATTAGATTTCATAAGATTTTTTAGAATTTTAGCACTGCTACAGGTAGCCGTGAACATTTCTGAATGTAGACTTTTGGTTAGGCCTTATGTCTGAAGCCAATTCTTGGCAGTGGCTTCCGAAGTCCCACTCATTTTAATTCTTATTTCTTCGTTAGAAAACAATTTCGTCTGCTTTATATCGTGTGTTACTATTTTTGTTCAGTCGGACGCACTGATTCTAATTTTTGATTAGCAACGGACAAAATATGTATCGCAAATTGCGCTGCGATACTGGTTGTCAGCAGCCCTGTTGTTATGAACTAAAGTAATATCTTGTTATTTAGGTGTTTTATGATGAAACTGAAAAACTGCTAATCAAATTTTAAATTTGTGAAAAACTGCTAATCAATTTTTAAATTTGCTAATCAAATTTGACTTTTTGATTAGCAGTGCTGCTAATCAATTGTGAAAAATTACCGACAGCCCTGGCATGTTCACATGTTGCCAGGTTCTCATACAGCTTCTATTAGTGGTCCACATAGGTTCATCAGTTCTGATACACTTTGTCATCAACTACACTACATGTATATCGGCCTGTTTTTCTCAGACTTGCGCTGGACCAATTCTGACTAGGTGCCATTGAGACCACCGTTTAAGTTGGCAGTGCATCACCGACAATGGTGATTACAACAATAACATGTTTAGATAATTGTAAAATTTTGCTTGATTTGAGATCTGCTTAGTTACATTGTATTATACAGCCACATTGAATGTACCATAGTCACATTGACAGTATTTATGTTCAAGGGACGCAAAATGTGATCTGATTTTCAATAATTAAGTGGAAAAATTTTAATGTGACAAACATTACAGACTTTTTGAACATTTATAGCTGCCGTATGTTTCATTGTCTGGAAACCTATTCTATACTTTCAGCTTCCATTTCACATTTTGGCCAAGACCTCAAAGATTGAAAATGTTGCTGAAATAATAAGTGAGTTAGACACTTACAGTGTACAGATTGGGTTTGATACTACAGATTGTGTACAAAAATTGAAGGTAAGTTTAAGTTCTGGTGAACTCTGGGCATATGGAATAGGGCCATACATGTACATTACTTGTCTATGAATCATATTGCTGGGTGGGTTTTCTCCGGGTCATCCGGTTTCCTCCCACTGCTAAAGACCCCTACGCGCAAGCGAATTATTGAAATAAAATTAAACCATATGTTAGTCCCGAAATGACCTAGTTTGTGTCGAATGGACGTTAAACCCCATTTCTCTCTCTCTCTCATATTGCTGGGTGGCATGACTTCATGATTAAGTCGTACAATTAAAACTTTATTGGATAAGAGGAAATTATAAAACCAAGTTAATTTTATTACAAGAACTGAAAGGCTGTTATTTTTTCTATCAATAAACCACACTCTGATTTTATTGAAAACACAAATTATTTGTCAAGTGACTCGATGAACGAGGCTAGACATGTTCCACAAGTCATGTCAAACAGTGACCCCATATCTGGAGAACATGCGCAATAAATACTATCGGTGAAGACTGGAATAACCAGACGCTAGAGATTGCCATTCAATTGAGACGTCTGGCGTATTTTGCCGAACATAACTGATTTGAAATTACAGTTAAAACGAAAATGATTGAATGTAAATCAGTTTATATACATTCATATTACATTATTATATACGGTGCAACCCATTTGTGTCAATTTCTAGGTCCAAAATATTAGCGATTTAGCTTCTTTAAAGATGCATTAAATGCAAAAGCTAGATCTGCCTTTTTTCTGGCTACAAATAAATTATTATTTAGACATTTATTCACATGGCAAGCCCATAATCCTAGACAATAGGATGGCTTAGATTGTGAATGGATTAGACAATGATCGCTATATACTAATACATAAATCTTCATTAATAATTCATTATGGAAGATTAGGTAAAGAGCTGGTGGTTCTCACTACAATAGTTAAAAACTAGATAATGTAAAGGGAATTTCAATAAATTCGTTATTGCACATTGTGAACGCTCGAACGACAAAAGTTATCAACCGATCTTTATGAAATTTATATGCATCATTTAAATTAGTACAACAAAGAAGAATTTCAGCATATTTCCATCAGTTACATCTAGAGTAATGGCCCTTGTTTCACTTTGTTGAATTTTTGTGTACGCTCTCATGACAACAGTCATCATCCGATCTGTTTGAAATTGATATGCATCATTTAAATAAGTAAAACAAAGAAGCCTATTGAATTTCAACAATTTCCGTTAATTACGCCGTGAGTTAGGGCCCTTATTTCACTTTGTTGTACCTTGTGAATGCTCTAACGACAAAAGTTATTATCCGATCTGTATGAAATTTATATGTATCGTTTAAATTAGTAAATTGAACAAGCCTATTGAGTTTTAGCAAATTTCCGTTAATTACATCTAGAGTTATGGCCCTTGTTTAACTTTGTTGAATCTTGAATCTTGAACGACAAAAGTTATCACCTAATCTGTATAAAATTCATATGCATCATTTATATTGGAGAAATGAAGAAGCCTCTTGAATGTCCGCAATTTCCGTCAATTACTTCAAGAGTTATGACCCTTGTTTTACTTTGTTGAACCTAGTGAACGTTCGAACAACAAAAGTTATCATCTGATCTGTATGAAATTTATATGCATTATTTGAATTCGTAAAACGATAAAGCCTGTTGAATTTCAACAATTTCTGTAGAATACTTCCAGAGTTACAGCCCTTGTTTTAGTTTTTAGAACCTTGTGAACCCTCAAACGACGAAAATTATAATGTCATCTGTATGAAATTGTCTATTAAGTTCCCCTAATTACCTACAAAAGAATAAATATGCGACAACCCTTGTCGACTGCTCGGACGAATTAGCTGCTGTGGGCGTATGTTTTGTTGCCTGGTAACCAATCTTTTGATTTAGTTGTAAGCAGCAGACCGAGTTCTAATCCAGTAAATACTGCAAGCTAGTGATGCCATCGAGAGTTGATTATGGTCTGGATAAGTTAATTAATGTCCAATTAATAATTTAGATTACATTTCAGGCCTAAAGAAGGACCTATTATTGACAGATTAAGTTCTTGCATAATGTATGTTTAAACATGCATTATCATGCAAGAGCTAAATCTGCCTATTGCAGTTCTTTCTTTAGGCCTTAAGATATTATCTAAATTAACAATTAGACATTAACTTACCAAGACCATAATCAACTCTCGATACCATTAGAATGATGCAATGTTTTGTGGTGGATGAAATAATTATAAAATGGATAATCGAGACTTTGATTATTATTATTGTAACAACTGTAGTAATGATGATTGAGGCTAGCCCAAAATTAAATTGCTAATATCTTCGTTCAGAATGAAGCAATTTGACTGAATTTTCAGCATATTCTCTTTTCATTTACTATTTCTTAACTATTATAGCGAGAACTGTCAGCTCTTTATCTATTCTTGCTATTGCCCCTTTAAACAATTACATAGCTGCCACTTGTGGTTGTGGAGACTGACATTTGAACTGAAATCAACACAAAATGTTTATTATCATGGCAATGGTAATTGAAAGTCGAGAATACATGCCAAATGTCTAGTTTTGAACTATTGTAGTTTATAGCAAGAACAGCCAGCTCTTCATGTAATGCATGTCACTTTATTTCTTCTTTTCTTAAATTGTAATTGTTTCTTTATATTTCTGTGTAGATGTTGTTAGGAAGGTTAATGAATTTTGAGCCAAGAAGAACACATGATGAAGGACCACAAGATGAAGACCAGGATAAATTTGCTCAAATGTTTTATGAATTGGGTGGAACAGAAGTAAGTTTATTGTCCTAAAGGTTGAGACTTTGTGGGATTGTTGATTAGGGCTTTAAGAAAGTTAATCCTATCAAATTTTCAACTGGCGTGGTTTCCTCCCACTGCTAAAGACCCCTACGCGCAAACGAATTATTGAAATAAAATTAAAAACCATATGTTAGTCGCGAAATGATCTAGTTTGTGTCGAGTGGACGTAAATCCCATTTCTCTCTCTCTTTCCCCTATCAAATTTCAAAATTTTATAAATCTTGGAGGAACCCTATTATATGCATTTACTCTGTTATGTCAGTTTTCATATATTATCGACAGTAGTAATTTTTTTAATTTCTCATGTTAAGATTTATGTGAAAGATTGTAGCACATGCTAAAACTTTTAGCATGTTCTACAATCTTTCACATAAATCTTAACATGAGCAATTAAAAATGCAGCTTGTTTGATGTTGAGTTCTATAAAAAAACGCTAGCATTCAATCAATATGAACAGGGGTGGATATAGGATTTTCAAAAGGGACTTAGCCAATGTGTCTGTCAGCATGTTGATTGAAAAATATTTGGAGACTTTTTCATATGATTTTTCCGAGAAAGTCAATCAAAAAGGGCAGTTTGTTACATTAAAACTTATTTCCGTTCCATATGTTAGTGCAATATTTCCATCAAAGAGACTTAAGAATGAAAGACAGCCCAGTGGATCTAGCTTGATAAATACAAATATACATTTCACATTTTTATACAATAAAACTTCCCTCTGTATCCACAAGTGATGTAAGATAGGTCTGTTCCTGCACTGAACTAGGTAGGTTGTTGTAAATGTGACTCTCATAGAGAGTTTACAAATTGAGGCTAAAAAAATGCTATAAACTTATTTCAGGTATTAGTGAGGTTGTTGATGTTTGGGTCCCTTTTCCCCAATCCTTACCGACCAAACAGAAGTAAGTATTTTTTTTTTACTATCAGCTTGTGCCATTTACTCATAAAAAAACTAGGAATGGTTCATATTGATTTCTGATTTTGTGGCAGTTAAGGATCTGAACACCAGACTTGGGCTTTAAGCATGGGTCTAGAAGGAAAATAGGATTTTTCAAACACAATCTTTACTTTAGGTTTGGCTCCACCCGAGTTGAGGTGATAGTGAGAACAGCCAATTTGCGTGGGGCCCAATACCAAGGTCTTATAAAACTTAAACATACATTATGCAAGAGCTACATCTGCCCATTGCAGGTCTTTCTCTGGGCCTGAAATGTTTTCTAAATTATTAATTAGACATTAACTCATTGACCCCTAGACTTAATTCATTATCTACTACTGTCTCTCCCTAAGCCAATTAACTAGACAATAGCTTATCTCCCTGGAGCTAATTAAAGGATTATCCCTTAATCCAATATATTGCAAAGAACACAAAATAACACACAAACTATTATTCCATTCAAAAAATGTTCATATATTCAAATGAAGATATATAATTGGGCATCAAAATGGTCTAACTTTTAAGCACTAATACAAAGTAACAACAAAGTTATTTTTTATTTAAATTCAAAAATGTTTAGCACATGCGCATTGTACAACAGGCCATAGCATGCTTTCGTAGGCATTCGTCTAATTGACGATCAAAATGTGCAAGATTTACCACAATGAGCAAATTAAAAAATCAAACTATTTTTATCATTTAAATGTCCTAAAAATGTTGAAAAAAAATCACTGAATTTAACTTAGTTTGCTGAACAAAGTTGGCATTGTATTCGCCGACCACGGGCCAACATTTTGATTTTTTTTTTCAGAGTAAGTCATATCTGGGTCATCTTCTCCGTTTATAATCCCGGAAAAAAACAATTTTCCGAACACTATTGAGATTAATATTCACATCTAAAATACCCTTTGATAAAAATCCTACAAATTCTGATTCGGAATCACTTTTCATAGCGAAGAAATTATTAAAAGAGTGAGCGCTGGGATATTACAATTCGACGAAGAGTGGCTGACATTTTTGGTACGCGGTATATCACGTATATCTTCTTCTCTGTTTCATATCTCGGAAAAATCACTCTCCCGGAACATTTGTCATTACTGAGATTAATATTCACATGTAAATAAATATCCTTTGATAAAATTCCTTCAAATTCTGAATCGGGATCACTTTCCATAGCAAAGAAATTATTAGATGAACGAGCGTGAAAATATTAATCTTGCGTACAAAATGGCGCCCTATGACACAAATTTTCTCTAGAGTTCACGACCTTATAACCCCAAAACCATTGATGTGAAGTATATGTTTTATGATTTCGATCATTAGTTCAAACTATACTCTTATTGGATAACTACTTTTGGAAAGCCAATCGTCTTTTTTTATAAATTTATTGAACAATAAAACAATACATCAAAAAGGCCGGCAGCAGCCGTTGATGGGCAAATTGTCTTGCGAGTTAACAACCTTTATAACCCCTAAACCTTTGATGTGACCTACAAATTTTATGATTCCAGTAATTAGTTCAAACTATATATTTATTGGATAACTACTTTTTGGAAGCCAATTGGCCTTTTTTGATAACTTTCATGATCAATAAAACTTTACATCAGAGAGGCTGACAACAGTCGTCGTTCGGAAAAGTGACTAGACATTAGGTAGTCGACAGGTGGCGTAAGTCGGTGAAATTCAGTAGCTAATTAGGTCGACGTCTGGCGTAAGTTGGACCGAACGAGTTAATTAACTGATCCAGGCCATAATCCACGCTCGATGGCATGGGATTTCTCCGATAATAAATAGATTAGAACGGTACAGCCACATTTTCATTTAGTTAAAAATGGAGGAGCGTGACTTAGCCTCTAACAACCAGTACAGTGGTTGCAATCATTTCACACGTCTTGTCAAACCTTCAAAGGCTAATATCTTCACTCGCAATAGAGTAATTGGAATGAAATTTTCATATTCATTTTACATTACCGGGTAACTATTTTCGAACTATTATAGCCTGATATGCACGTATTAAAGCTGTGAGATTTCAGTGTCAGAAACCAAGTATTTTAATTTTGACTGTTGTTAGGTTTGTTTCATTTTAACCAGGTAAAGACAATTCTAATTTGAAAAGAGTAGTTTTGATATAAATATATTTTTTCTATTGATTACAGTTATAACAGAATCTGAGAAAATTTTACGTTTAAAAAGCCTTGTTTTAGAAGTTTTAACAAAATTAACGTCCACGGTAAGTAAATTTTAATCGCATTTGAACAAAATTGGATTATATATTCCAAAAGCATTTTGCCAAGTTATTTTGCTGTGTACATTTTAAACTTTGTAATGCGATACAGGACAATGTTCTCGGTGTCAAGAGGATATAATTCCAGTGCAGTAGTTACATAGAGTAGTCGATATGGTTGCAGTAACAGCAGTAATGAAAAATAATAATAGATAACTGTAACAAAACTCGAGTCTTCTTTGTGTTTCGAATAGTTCTTATCACGATCATTTGATTCTCAACATTTTACTCGAAATTTATTGATTGTTCACTGCTTGTCATCGAAAATAATAACTGCAACCTAACACACAAACATGGACATTGACAATTTTACTGCTTGCAGGCATATTAAGAGGTCTGATGAGCACCTGTCATTTCATTATGTATATGTCAGTGTATCACTACATGTTTGATACCTTGATTGTGCTGTCCTATTAAATGCACTATGTAAAGTTCACTAAAAATCACACAAAAGAATCACTGTTCTTAAGAATAGATCATTTGCAGATGACGGTATATTATTTATAAAAGAAATGGATGTTTTTAGATTTGTAATGTCTTGATCATGTTATATTTCAGTCTGTTGGAGAGAAAGTTACAAGTGAATTAATGAAGAGTGATGATATTATGAATTATGTATTTACACTATTGGCTCATCCTAAAACATTTATAAATTCTTGTCAGTTAATTGAAGATATGCTACAGTCAAAGAGAGAGGTGTTAGATTTACATAGAATCAGTAAGTAATGGAACGTATAATATTGTTTTCCATTTGTTTATGAATAGCAGTATGCTGGATCATTAATTATCTGTCAAAAGTCAGCTGATATGGTTATTTAGATTATGCTAGAATAATGGTACTTACTCATAAAGAATAGTTTACAATTTTAATATTCTGGTTTAAATCTATTGGTAAAAATATCAATATTTCAATAGATTTAGTGCTAAGTGTAATTTAAATCTTGGTATGCGTATAATGAAATTGAGAATAATTTATTATGTATTATATTTTTTTTTTACAGATAACCTAAGAAGTTTGATTTGTTGCCTTGATGACACACAACTAGCCAACTTCTGCCGTATTCTTGCTGTAGCTATATCAGATCTCGACATCTATGAAAATAAATCTTCATGTAAGTTGTTGGTCTTTATTAAGTCAGCTGCTTATTCTACAAAAAGATATATAGTAATCTAATTAGTAACATAATGTTTTTAATGTCTTTTTACCTGCTCTAGGAGTTGCTCAATAGCATATTTTACCTTATCTCTTGACACAGAATATACTGTGGTGTTCTTGAAATACAGGGCTAACATGTCAGCACATACCTAGAGTGATAGACTGTGAGGTTGCAGATCTAGGTCGTTGACCTTTGGTCCATTTCACTCGCTTGTCTTATTTATTTGCCATCAAGTAATTTTTTTTGTTTGGAAGCACTAGTATTAAGTAAATTATCAAAATCTGCAATAAAAAAATATTTTCTTATTTCAGTATTTGCCCAAAATAAACAGAAACGAAGTCGGGGGTTTGTGAATCTCAGAGATATCAACCAAGGTATGGATATTTCTAAAAGAAAAAAAGTATGTTCAGGTTTTAACATGGATCTGTTCAATTTATGTTATGGAAACATTATTTTTGATTTTTTAAAAAATTTATGATAACGTGTCCTTAATTTCTGAGTTACGTTGCATTGATTATTTATGTAACTGTTATATTTGAAAAACTCTTTATTTTTCAGAACTTCTGCTTAGCATTCCTGAATTATTGCCACGTTTAGTAAAGTTAGCCATATCCAAAGATTGTAAGTTTATTTCCTTTATGTACTGATTGTACAGTGGATTCTGTCACTTTCATTATCATTTTCATGTCCTGATTTACTTCCTTATTACTTCAACCAAAAAAGTTCTGAATCATCCAGATTCTGAATATTCCAAATTAAGACATCAATCAGCGTTCCCGTCTCAATTTGCATACAATTAACATTTGATAATCTGGCCTTCAATCAGTTGGTGTTAGCCGACATGCAATCACCAATTAATTATCTGTGAGCATAATACATGTCAGTCTTTGTTGTTAACCATGATAATTTTATCTCTTGTAAGAGAGCGCTTGGTATTTGATTTGAGTTTCTCAGTCAAATACAGCAACATTATATATAAATTGCTGAGATGAAGAATCACTATCAGTATAATAATATTGTGTTTCTTATGTGTGATCGTCCTGCAAAGTGTGTCCGTACGGATGTCAAGCAGCAAATTATAGTAGATTTTGAGAAAGTTCCACGACCTAGACAGAAGGAATTAGCCGTTAAGTAATCAATTGGACTGTACTACAGTATCCAACATTTTGAAGCGAAAAGATGAATTCAGAGTGGTTTAAGGGCATCGACAAACACAACCTGTCGGTCAATTGTTCGGCCAATCGTAAGATTTGGATGACAAGTGCTATTTAGTCGACTTTAGATGCTGATATATATATTCAAAGTAAATTGTTATGACATGTATTATGTTATTGTCTTGTTATGCAATTGTCTGATATAATGTACTAAAATTTTGAATGTACAGAAAACATTATCATATTTTAAGTTCTGTGTATTCGAGGATGCATTATAATAAAATTTCCGGTATTTGAAGGTACAATAGTACTTCCGGTATAATTGAGGCAATTGAGTATTCCGACATGCTGTCTAGGCATATTGTATCAATCCCGTACAAGTCCACTGTAGTTTGTTTATTTTATTTACTTATTGTTTGTTTTTTTTTCATTTACTTGTTTTTTTTTTGTGTTTTTTTTTTTTTTACTTCATTTACTTATTGTTGTAAATAATTTTATTTATTAACTGGGGCAATTATATGAAAGTGGTAAGGAAATCAAAGATTCATGGTTTGTAGAGTGTAACATAAACAAAATACGGTTAAAAAAAAACCCTGAAAGTTTGTTTAGAAGAAAAATTAGTGTAATGATATATTATGTATTTATTGTCTGCCAACTTGAATATTCTGTATCTGATCATTATATAAATATGGAAAAAACATGTACTTGTCATATGTAGATACTCCCAGATATAGAGGTATGGTCAGTGAATTAGATTGTTGGATGGAATGGATTGAAAATCAGATGGCAGAAGAATTGTATGAAACACAAATTCAAGATGATTTTGAAGAATTTGTTGGGGGTATGATATTTTGTTACACTGAAAGATAGCAATTGGTTAAAAATTAATTCATTAGTATAGATATCTAATTGTTTATCAATGAACTATGAGGGTCGCTTACATGTAATTATTCAGTGTGTTCAGTGTGAATGAGATTGACTTACGCACTACAACTACCATCCATGCAAGATTTGAATGATGTTGTAAATATATGCAAAATAACTGGGGAAAAAAAGGATAGATTAGTTGTTAACATCCTATTGTTCTGCTCTGAACTGGGCTAATGAAGACTGGCATAAGTTAGAAAACTTATAATATTTACTTTTCCAGGAATCTCAGAACCTACTACAGAAAATGGTCCTATGGTACAACAACAGGGATTAAAAATGACAGAAGAATTAGTACAAAGAGTGGAAGTGGTGTATATATTGGGACTTTTTCTACTGGGTAAACATCGGAAAAAAGTAAGATATTCACTTATTATTTCATTGGTGACAGTATGTTATATTTTATGGGTATGGCTATGTAAGGTGAATTTCCTTCCCATTTATAAATCACAGATACAAAGCAACCAAGACCAGATTGGACATCAAAACATGTTTTAGGTGATAAAGTTGAAGAGAACTTAATTTGCATTAAATAATATCTGTTTTGTGCCACAGGTTCAAAGAAAGTTAGCTGAATTAAAGTTAGCTGCTGGTTTAAGTGATCTTTTTGAACAGTTTATCTGGAAATGTCAAGTGTATGTATATCTTCATTCTATTTCACATTTAATTGACTGATTTCTGAAAATATTTTATTTAAATTACTTACATATATCTCAGATGGATCATGTCTAGTGTTCATGTAGGTCAATCAAATGAAATGTCAGTAAATTTCTCACAATTATTCCTATTTGATTATTCTGAAATGACTCCCCAACTGTTCCAAAAGACAAAACTGTATATCTTCGATTAAAAGCAGTCGTCATTATGAATTTGATTAACTGCCTTCTTGTTTTGCTTTTCGTAGAAGTGCTCACATAAGATGGGGATTCTAATATGCTAAATGTACACCCTCAAAATTAATTTCCAGAAATCACTTGTGTGAGCACTAATCACATCTGCTCAAACATTTATGATAAGTGATATATACCATGAATTTGTTTCAGCAGTCGTCACAATACACGTCATAGATTACGTGGTCACAATGCTGCATGTGAATGTAGTCCAGTAAGTACCCTGCATTATATTTTTTTTTCCTTTGATTCTTTATTTTGGGTTAGAGGTAAGGTAGCTATTTTAATGTTAAAAAAAGGACATCGCTTTCCTTATGTCTGCTTCTTAAAGTTGGGGGCCATCTTAATCATATGAAATATTAAAATAAAGATGTACTATATGTTAGTCCTAAAATATCTTTCAGTTTAATAGATGTTAAATCCCATTTCTCATTCTTTTCTGCTTCAAAAATTGAGAGTATATCAGATGGACATACAGTGACTTTCAAGTAGTTTATAGGTTGGGTACTTTATATTCCAAACTAATATGACACTTCTTGGTTGCTTATGTATATGTTGATAATAAATTATGTAATGTTTTCTCTGTAGGAAGTGGCTTTAAAGATTCAGTTTTTACGACTGGTCCATAGTTTCTGTGATCATTCAGAGTAAGTATGAAAAAAATAACATGGATGTTTTCATTGATGCTTGAGTGGGTCAAGTACTGGTTATATTGGTGTATCTTCTCTGTAGACAAGAAATATAATATGAGAATCTTAACTAAACATACCATAAATATATTTAGATAGAATTGCTTGTGGACGCTCTAGAGGTCAAAGTTAATATCCGATTGACTTTAAATTTATACACAGTGTTTAAGGTCATGAGACGGAGAAGCCTATAGATTTTCAGCGATTTTAGATAATTACTGCCAGAGTTATGGCCCTTGATCACTTCAAAAAATTCTTGTAGACGCTCTAGAGGTCAAAGATAATTACTGCCAGAGTTATGGCCCTTGATCACTTTGAAAAATCTTGTGGACGTGCTCTAGAGGCTAAAGTTAATATCCCATTGACTTTAAATTTATACACAGTGTTTAAGGACATGAGACGAAGAATCCTATTCATTTTCAGCGATTTCCGATACTTACTGCCAGAGTTATGGCCCTTGATCCCTCTGAAAAATCTTGTGGATGCTCTAGAGGCTAAAGTTAATATTAATTGACTTTGAATTTATACACTGTGTTTAAGGTCATGAGACGAAGAATCCTATTGATTTTCAGTGATTTCCGATAATTACTGCCAGAGTTATGGCTCTTGTGACGCTCTAGAGGCTAAATTTATCATCCGATTGACTTCAGATTGATACAGAGTTTAAGGTCTTGAGACAAACAAGTATATTGATTTTCAATGAATCTTTTTGACTTGAACAGCTAAATCCATGATGTTAAAAGTTTCGTATACTAAACGTTAGCATGGGGCAGAACTTTATAAAAACCAAACAAATTCTAATGGTTTTCTGATAATTAATTAATGAGTTGTTACTCTTAATCAGATTTTAATGTATTATAAATGTTTCATTACCGAAAAAAGTAAAAATATGCGACAACTCTTGTTGACTGCCCGGATGATATAGCTGCTGTGGGCGTATGTTTTGTTGCCTGTCATTTTATTGTATGTCATCTTTATTTCTGTTATTTTTTTTTCAGCTATAAACATTTATTACTGTCCAAAAATGAACTCAGCGAAGTCAAAAGAATTAATGGTAAGTAAACAAATTTGGAAATCATTAAGCAATGAAAGTTCATATGCTATTTTATAACAGCTTATTAGATGAAATTCAGCAGCTTACTGTAAAAAAATTATTTTTATGTCTGCTCTTAGTTAAGCTTTTTAAAAGAGGATCCAGGCTATTAACATTAATAAAATAAAAAAATAATTTCACCTTTAATATTCTTAGATATAAGCCAAGTTAAAAAGTCATTTTAAAAAGCCCCATGCATCTTATTTTCTACAGCCAAAGCTGGTGATTTGGCCCTTACCTCATTAGATAATGTAAACAAACAGTTAATGTGTCGGGGTAGTAAAGGTTTGTTAACGAAGATTGTAGAAGTCATGAAGAAAGAGCCCACAACATCTACATTCAGGTAAATACATCGAACTGGATGACCTGGCGCCTGGTACGTTCGGGCATTTTTATGCGCGAACTCTTAGTTTTTTTTTACTGGCATGCGCACAGGTACTATTTCTTTTTCTTTTAACAAGTACCCAAATCGGGGATTTCGTGCGGAGGTAGTTCGGAGGTAAACAGTCTGTGAAGTACAACACTTGCCACTCTACCTGTGTATCGCTAATTATAAACCGAATGTGTGAAGACAGTTCATACATATCACTCAAAAATTTTTCAGTACAAACTCAGTTGATTCACGCTCGATTTGCTACTAAACAAACCCATCGGTTTATTTTCTCAACAGTGTGACCCGAAGTGACCGCGGATTTATTGACCTTGTATGAACTTATCCATAGCTATATCCTTACACCGAGAGAAATTATCTAGTCTCAGTGAAAAGAACCATGGTCATCTGGTAGAAAATTACTTTTGTATTTTTTGGAACGGAAAACAGTGTTTTTAGAAGCAAACTAACCTGCCGCACATGAGGAAGTCATTATACTAATAATAACAGGCGAGACCTCTTTTTGCGGCGCAAGCTTATCACTGAGTAGTAAACCGTCCACAAACAATAATATAGGATGACGAGTTACGAGTGTAGTAAGTAGGCTATAGACTATAGGTTTGAGTCGAGATTACTCGCTTTCAGTTTACTCTGTTTTTGCGATAACCAATTATGTGAGAAATACCATACTGACATTCGGTTTTTAAAAGTTGTACGCGAACTAAATGCGTTTGTTAGATACTGACAGAGCAGCCTCGAGTCGAACAATCGCCGCCCGAGCTGTCTTCGTCAGCTAGTTTCACAATATCGTGCAATAGGTGTATTAATGTGATTTTTAGGTTTAACCCCGCAAACAATGCCAAAATAGTGTTTTCACTGCTTACAGAAAACTGAAATTTAAAAAAAAAAAAATTTTATGGGGGGGACCCTCCCACACACTCCCTATCGAGCTGCCGCTCGGTCTGCGCAGCCTCATGCCTGGCACATACTGTCAACATTGTATATTTTTCCGTTTCCGCCCTTCCCCCCCACAATATATATTTCACGGCTACGTTGCGACGGTACCAGCATACCCAGTTGTTGACACCCATTACATCACTCCTGTCTAACAAATCATAAAGCTGTGGTGTTACGGTGGCGGCATAGTATTTCACCGTAACACCACAGCCACTCTAACCATTCATAATACATCTAACTATCCCTTTACAGCACTTCACTCCCTACACATTTCCCCTCGTCCTACTTTCCCAAACGTCAACAACACATCTCATACATCCAGTTCGCTGATTAACCCTTGTACCACGTCTACTGGATTCTTGAATAGAGGGTTCGGTTACTAGTATGATAACCACTAATAAATTGTGTCCTAGGTTTAGCCATGAACTCGTGCATTTAGTGTATGCACAATATTGATTTAGATTTGACTGCAAAACTGGTCCTGTGTATGCCATATGCAACCTGTTAAAGATCCCCTGATTGTTGGAGATAGAAATAAACATAGGCTGTAGTGCCACTACCTGGGCAAAATTCACTGCATGGTGTATGGCCATCTACATTAGCCTGGTTGGTGCAGAACAGGAAGACATTTAACCCTATTCCATACCTTGTCTATTGTATAAAGAGTAGTTTATAAAAACTATTAATAGTTGATTTAATGAATGATTATATTTGATTTTAGTCTTAATTTTATATTTTCTACAATATGATTGTAGATTCTGGCTGGCCAGAGCAGTAGAAAGTTATTTACGTGGTGATACATCTTACTGTGATCAGGTGTTTTTAATGAGAAGGGGTTTACTTCAGGTATGTCAATTTAAAACACCATTCTAAATTTAAAATTGAACCACAATCTTGTATGTTGTGCTGCCTTCCTGCATTTACTGTGAGGTTGGCAAGGTTTGCCATGTTTCAGTCTTTTGACAATTGCTTAATGTGATTTCGCACCTGATAAGACATAATTTTGTTATGGTTTACCGTTTTAACAGAGGCATTTAGAGAAATAAAGAGAAATGAGTTGTAGACTGGCATTAAATGTTTTGTAATATTCTTGATATTTTTTAGCATGTAGCCAGTAATATTGTTGAACATGAAATACGCCATAAAGAGATTTTACAGAGCAGTTTTGATCTTCTTGGAGAACTGATAAAATTTAACATTGAGGCCTTCAAAACATTCGACAGCATACTCAATACACCAGCAAAGGTTTGTACTTATTAGTTTTAGTTACATTGATTTATGGCTAATTTACAAATCCACCTATCAAAATTTGAAGTTGGTATAAAAATTTGACAGAATGTCAAGTGTAGTGTTCATTTAGTTTATTGTTGTTCAGTCATGTAATATATATTTGATTTTCTGTTTCACAGTTAGATAAGTTTGTAGCAACTGTTAATAGAAATTTAGTGGATTCTAATATGTTTATTCGAAGCCTTATTCTGTCTCTGGAACATTTTACTAATAAAGAAAAATGTGATGGTAAGTATCTAGTTAATTTCTTTAAACACTAATACAGAATTACCAGATAGAATTTAATGAATTGAAAAATTATAAAGCAGATTACGTAAATATTTGCAAAGAATGAAGATATAAATTTTTCCTATCATTTGTGAATAGGGGTAATTAATACCATAGTTTTCATTTGATGACTTTAGTTCTATTTTAATGTACATTATGATATGTTTATCCCAAAATAAGCTGATTATTATATGTTAAATTCATTTCCTTCTTGGGGATTAGTGGCTGTGCATGGTCTAACTTGTGCACTTTAGATCATACGGTCTGATTCAAGCGGCTTGGTTTCAGTCTGATTCTTGTACTTGACAGCTGCCTTCATTGTATCTTTTCTTTGGGTTATACAGTTTCCTTCCACTGATAAAGACAGAGCAATGAAATTATTGCCTTCTTAAGGATATACTGTTAGTCTACAAATGGATTGGTTTGTGTTGAGTGTACTTTAAACACATTTCTATTTCTATCCTTCCATATCTAGGTTAAAAAATTTACAAGATTTACTATTGTTAGTAGAATAGCTTATAATGATGTACATAAATTATATATTTACAGAATCATATGCTGAATATGCCAAAAAAGAAAGCAAGTTGTTGATGTATATAGGAGATTTTGATCGCCAGTTAGATTATTTATATAAACTAATTAAAATTATTAGTGTTCAAAATTTGACGCAGGTAATTATTACATATCTATTCTAAATAAAAATTTATTCAGTTACATGATCAAAAAGTTACATATAATAGATATCAAACTGTAATAAATGTCAGAATTCTACTTCAATTTATTTCTTCTAACTTTTTCAGGAAAATGTGAGTTGTCTGAATACAACATTAGTATTTCTTATGTTTGCAAATCGTAAAACAGAATTACCTAGTTACTTACAAGCTCTACGTGACGAAAGAGAAGATATGTTAGATGTTAATGGTTCTAGTTCCGTTATGAGAAATTTCAGGTAGTATTTCACATCTTATACATACACAATGATTAGGTGCAGTATGGATATCTTAACCCTTATGTCAAATACAATTATGTAGATTTTTCTCTAACTGATCCAATATTTGCATGATAACGTGGTGTAATAGCTGTTATTGTGTTGCAAGAAGCCACAGTGTCAAATCTCAGTAATAGTCCATGTACTGTTGATATGATTATGTATGATAATTCAACAATATTTATCTTTTGTAACATGAAAAAAAGTTTATCTTTAATTGTTCCTATCAGCTGATATGTTGAATATCACAAATCAAAACTCTCAAAGGAGTTTATTCATTAGTAATTAAAACATAATTTAATACTTTATTTGCAGAGATTTATTAGTATTTTGGCAGGACCATTACTTACATAAAGACAAAGACTGCAGTGCCTTAGAAAAGGTAATTTGCTATGTGTTTCTGCTTTTACAGAGAGTATGCATAATCATTCCTTAAAATAAAATCGTAAGCAGTGTTATTTAGCTTGTATTGAATTGCTGAAACCGGAATAAAATTTGATGCTTTTTGGGGGTGTCTGAAGAAGGGGAACTAATTTATTCATGACTTTTTTAAGAGGCAAGACCTAAAAAGTTTTAAGTTGTTTTTTTTTTTGATAATTATAGCAAAGAAATTTAGGTTAGATCTCATCTTGACCATGATATTTGAGGCTAGTAATTAGTTTGCAGATGATTGCAAAGAAATACATATAGTGTTGCATGGCTATAAATATCATTAGTATTGATTATGTTAACTTTGCACCCGTCTGCTGTTTTGTACGATTTTTTTATATTATGGATGGTCTGAAATACTATATTTGCCATTAATAAAAGAATATTGGCTGCTTTAATGAGTTTAAAATTTTATTTCAGAGTTCGCGTATTAGTTTTTCATATTGGAAAAAGACTGTGACAACGCTAGTGTGCGAAGATAAAACGGAACTTTCGGCTGTGATAAGTTATATAGATCCATTACCTGGTGATCGTACGAATTAATGTGGAATGTGTTTTATTTATTTATACTTTGTTATCCTCGTTTCGCAGCTTTAGTGTGTTGAACGCCGAACTGATAGCTGTTGTTAAAATGCAATAAGACAACCTGTGTGAACTATTCTTCTGTTGAGACAGCAGAAACACTTGTCTTTCATCAGCCATATTGAATTTTTGACCAAGCATGTTCTGCCATGAAGCATATAATTTGATGCTCTGCTCAAAATGACAGTAAATAAAGAGACGTGAAAAATGATGACAGACGAAAGATTTCCTAGAAATCTATCCCGATGATGAATTTTTATGAATTCCAAATGTTCGAAGACTTAAGAGACTAATAGAGATTGGGAGAGTTGTGTATATTAAGTGTACTATATATTTCTTTGGCTACGAGTATGACATGGTGTAGCAATTGTAAGTATTGTAGACTAAAGACTTTTGTATATAAAACTGAATTTATAATACCACAAGAAATTGGAAATACAGTTTATATGATATTCAATGAATTTTTATATGGAATATTTGTTTATTTATGAATCATTTTAGCCAGGGGTTTCATTTGAAAATTTCAAATGTTTAATAATTTAATATAAAATTTATCAAATTGTTTTCTTTCTTTTTTTTTTTTGTCTTGGTAGAGGTTAATTCTATTCCTTACTCAAGTATTAAATATTTGTCTTGTAATATATACAATATATTTTCCTCAGTCACTCATTAATTGTACAGCATCTCAAAATTAACTTTTCATACCTTCAGTCTGCAATTAACCCCTCCCCATGATGCCAAACCTGCTTTTATAAGTAAAATATTCTATAAGTTAATAGGTCGTCGTAATGAATAGAAATGGTATTATAAATATAAACAGTTTGTCTTTTATTCTCATTTATTATAACATGTATATCCTATTTATTGTTTTTTTTTTCATGTGTTCATGTCCTGTTTTTAATCTTAAATATTATTTATATTTGTGTCTTTATCAGTTCTAAAGAAAAAAGTAGTGCTATAATTATTGTCTGTTGTAATTATATGTTGCTCTAGATGGTGGAAACATCCAATAAGGACACAGAATTTATATATGACTAGTTTATGCCAGTAGTTGCATTCATAATAAATGAATCAAAAACTCAGTAGAAAATATATTTTGTCAATATCAAATAATTTATTCCTTTTATCAGATGAAATTAATTGTCTATAATCCTTTTGAAATTTTATTTCAATATCAAATTTAAGACCCATATAATTTTCTTTTTTGCCTTTCTTAACAATGCAGTTTCTTATTATGTAGTGAATCTGCTTTTTATTTGAATTATTCCATGCAGCAATGCAAACATTCTGTGAATTCCTATGCAGCTTTTTACTATAGAATCATGATTTTAAGGCCACTGTGGTTTTTATACAGGAATTAAATCTGTTTGTCTACAATATTATTATATTGTTTAAATCATATGATGTGTGATTGTCTTGTGTAAATGGATTGTTGATGTGTATTGTCCACTTTTTGAAACCTCAGATATTTAACTGTTATAATTCCATGTATGGTTGTTTGAAAACTACATTGGCCTTGTATTAAAATAATAATACAAATTAAATGGCTTTTTTTTTATCACTGATAGCCATTGATGTGTTTTTACCATGGAATGTTGAGATTTTAAAATGTTTTGTATTTATGTACTGTCCGTTTGTATGGCTGTGGAAAGGTTTTAGCGGGTATTGTTTTATGCGTGTAGTTATGAAAGTTTTCATCCATTCTGTACATTCAACACTGTACTGTATGTAATATTGTCAAATAAATTTTTATCTGTATTAATTTACATCTTTACTTATAAATTACTGGGTGGAATATAGATCAGTTTTCAGAAAACATCGAGTGACAGATTTTAGGCACCTCATAGTTGATATAAGTGATATGAATATCAATAGAACTGGTAGTCTTGACTTTTGCACTTTACATCCACGGATCTGAAGGTACAAAATAGTCATTTCCATGTTTTATGAAATTCACTATAATAAAGGCAGATTACCCAGTAGGTCATGGCTTAAGGCATGTGTTTTTGAGATACACTGCAACAAATTCAAGCCTTTGTCTGACATTGGTTGAAACAGGCATAAAACTTATTAGACACATTATATGGTGCAGGTCAAATCCTTATTGACTCAACCGAAACTGGGAGGTAACAAGGGGGGCCACGGTTCTAAGAATTCTGTGTGCCAAATGATCTTTAACATACATTACTATTGTACAGACTAGTTTGTTTTAAGTTATTTGAATGGACATACTTGATTAGTCAAATATGGGTATATCAAATGTTAGAAATGGGACTTGTGCTTTGAAAAGCCGGAGGGTTCTTATCAACTAACACTGCATGGGATTTCATTTGTATCCAGTGACCTAATGGTATTCCATGCAAATAAAGGAAAGCACTAAATTGTTACTGGTTGAAGTAGAGAGCATAATATATAGCTGCATAGACAATTTTAAGATAGGTTGCCAGGCAACAAAACATACGCCCAACGCAGCTAAATCGTCCGAGCAGTCGACATAGGTTGTCACATAATTATTCTTTTGTAGGTGATTAGGGGAATTTAATAGACAATTTCATACAGATGACATTATAATTTTCGTCGTTTGAGGGTTCACAAGGTTCTAAAAACTAAAACAGGGGCTGTAACTCTGGAAGTAATCTACAGAAATTGTTGAAATTCGACAGGCTTTTTCGTTTTACTAATTCAAATAATGCATATAAATTTCATACAGATCGAATGATAACTTTTGTCGTTCGAACGTTCAACAAAGTAAAACAAGGGCCATAACTCTAAAAGTAATTGACAGAAATTGCTGACATTCAATAGGCTTCTTCATTTTACTATTTCAAATGATGCATATGAATTTCGTACAGATTAGGTGATAACTTTTGTTGTTCAAGCATTCTCAAGATTCAACAAAGTTAAACAAGGGCCATAACTCTAGATGTAATTAACAGCAATTTGCTGAAACTCAATAGGCTTGTTCCTTTTACTTATTTAAACAATACATATAAATTTCATACAGATTGGATAATAACTTTTGCGTTAGAGCATTCACAAGGTGCGACAAAGTGAAACAAGGGCCATAACTCCAGAAGAAATTAAATAGGCTTCTTCATCTCACTAATGCAAACAACATATATCAATTTCAAAACAATCAGATGATAAATGTAGCCTGTAGAGTGTTCACAAGAAATTGTGGACGATGGACCGACAGACGAACGGACGGGGGCGACGACAATATACGACCACATTTCCATGTGGGCGTATAAAAATGAAGAGGATCTGTTTGAAACAAACTATTAAAGAATAGATAGTCACGAGAACAGATAGCAAGAAAAATTGAAAAACTCTGTGCACTACCATGTTATGAACCAATCCCTACAAAAAATCATGCTATGATTATTATTTTTTAAAGTTACTGTCTCTGCCATACAGATTAACAATTGCAATATGACGAACACAACCAGACAGAAATTTTTTTTAGGCCTACTTGTTGATGAATTTAGCGATACCAAAGATACACCTACATGTATATAATATTTTTAAAACCTGAGACCAGTTTATCATTATAGAATCATATGAATTGTAATTCTACAGGCTCCAGCATGTAGATTACACATACCATTTCTGCTTCGATTATATGAAAACCATATGAAAGCAATCTTTTCCTTTGTCCAATTACAAAAAAGTAATTGCAAACTTGTAGACTATCCAGGGTCTATTTTAGGCATCATATAATCTTACACAAATTCCTGTCTTTATTAGCCCAGTCGATGTAGGACATTAAACCCTATTCCATTTTATTTCTTGCACAAATTTTAGTGCTGTCCTCTCTAATGTTACCCACTGAAGATACCGGTACTTATAGTAACTAATGGAATTTTATCATTTTTTTCTCCAATAGGAAAATAATAATAAACACTACTACATCAACCAAATTCAAAAAAAAAAAAAAAATTGTTTATTGCAAGATTCAGTTTTTAGAAATGTGAAAATGAATCAAAAAGCAATCCAAATATTGAATTATTTATTGAACAGTTGCATTCAAACAATGACAATATTTGAATGGTGAAAACAGCATTCTATGTGACCACTATTTTGTGTTTCAAAAAGATGGCCCTTAACTGTGCATCAAATTTAAAGATTGATCTTGTTTCAGAGCCATCATCTTTTATACTTGGGGCGAAAAGAATAAGATATTTTTGCAGTAAAAATGATATTACATAATAGCCAAGCCAATAAATTGAAATACTCTATTAATAACAATTGCATTTACACTATCCGATTATAAATATTACACGTTATATAATAATTATAAATAAACAAATTAAAATGGAACAAAGCTTATATTAATAACAAGTTTCAAATCAAACAGAATTACAGGAATAAATAACAAATAAAACATCAAATATATTAAAAATAGAAATTGAAAGACTGATATGAAAAAAAGAAATCTAAAAAAATACATAAAATTTTTTTTACTGAATCAAACTCTTTCTTTGTGTTTTGTTTTCTACTACATACCCAATACCGATCTGTTTCACAACGGTAATGGTAATGTGGAAGCCTTCTTTTAACTCTGTAGAAGATGACTGACCTTTAAAGTAACTAAGCCTCTAACTCAAATTCATCCAAATTCTTCAACATTGAAAACACAAATTGTCAAGCAAGTGGCAGTTTTCATCAACCCTTCCTTGAAGTGTCAAATTTGACAATGAACCCCTCCCATGTGTATGGCACTATTGCGTGTCGCATGTGCAGCTCAGTGGTTCTGTTAGGCCAGTAAGTTCATCTGTGAACATAACTCTCAAAGCATGTCAAGTTTATCATATGACAACCTGCATAGGTATTTGCATTTCAATATCCCCTACTTTTTTGAATTGTATACAAGACAAAATAAACATTTTACCATAATGCATTTTGGCACTATTTGAAACAAGTGTCAATTTCTAGGTCCGGAATATTAGCGATTTAGCTCCTTTAAGTTCACATGCATTATAGGCCTAAATGTGACCTCACATTATACAGCCTGGATAATGTGCATTGTTTTACATCGGATGTAGTAACACAAATTGATCCAGGCAGAATTGGTGCCTTTTAACCATTTTACACCATGTACTATTTTATGTACACATTTACACTAAATTGGGAATATTTTTTACCCAGATATACTTTAATTAGAATATTGTTTTAGAATTTAATTTGTAGAAGCAAAAAGTTAATAATATTGAGAGTTAATTAACTTGCCCCGATGTCATCCTTTTCAGTGATAGTAGCGGTCAAGTGAATATTTACTGCTGATCAGTTTGACCCAATACAAAGAATGATACACTTTGTATAAATCTTATCTTAAACTCAACAATAATATGTAGTTGGATTAGGAAATATTTGATTTTTACACACAAAGAGAATCTCTTTAAGAGATTATAAATATTCATCTAAAATTTATTCACATTCATATAAATTCTCTTTATCAACAACAGTTTTGAAGAAATGAAATATTAGCACAGTTCTGAACACAAATACGGTCTAAAATTAGTATCTCCGAAACATGATTGTTTTTAGTGATAAATAATTGTTGATATTTTTACAAAGGTAATTTGAACAAATCAACCAGTTGACTAATCAATATAGTAGTTTGGTAAAACTTAATTATATCAATATAAATCTACTAGTAAGTAAGTCTAAGCCTACAGACATGATGTAGTTGTAATTTCCATGATGCTCATAACAAATTTGAATATACACATTCCATCATCCAATGATAGCAACTAAACCACAAAAAAAGTTGCATTCCAACTATTGGCTCCATTCATAAGATTTAAATTTGACATTGATTTTTACACAACTAAAGGTTATATTTGTGTATAATGAAATACAAAATAAAATAAAGTTATTGAAATATCCAGAGTAAGTAAAATTATACCCTATGATAAATGTGTACTGGTATATACAATTTCTAAACCAATATTTAAACATATATAATATTGATACTATAGACATGTGCATAGCTGAAGTCTTAATTTGAAAGAATCTGTATGTGAATTGAAAGAAATGTAAATAAAGATCTTAAATCTGGCAACACATTATGACTAGATATAAAATTTTTCTAACAGATCATTGTACTCTACCGTCTAAATCTATACATTTATATCTCAAGATCATTTAATTCAGCAACGATTTTCCAGCGCAGGAAATGTCTGAGAAATATTATCTCAGATAGATGAACCAAACTATCAGATCACTGTTCATATTGTTTTTTTTTTTTAACTAATTTTTTTCGAATCATTACAATTACTATCCTATATTATTCTACGTAAAGTCCCAGTAGAAACAACATGATTTTCATCTAAGTCTGACATTATCATACTATTATATAATACATCTATATACATATACTCATACTCCTCGCAGTGTTTCGTTTGATTAAACCTAATCCCACTCAACACTGGCATTAATGAAAGCAAATTGGTAGTCCAAATAATTATGACTGGTCAATAGTCGGATTAACAACCAATATCTAACTGCGTAATTTGGGTTTAAACAAAGCTCCAAATATTTTTACAGAACGTTACGTCATGACTTAAGAAATTCATTATGGGGGATTAACCAGAGCATAGCAGAATATTGCAGAAAAACTAATTGCATGACAAACATGGCTATCAAAACGGCTACAATGTAAACAATACTGTTTGGAGGCAAACAATACTTTCACCGTTTTTCATACCTTAAATCACTGTCCAAAGTTTTAGGGAAGACCCCAGATTAAACGAAGGGCTGTCATGTTGCTGTACTTAGGAGAGATTTGATTGAACGGAAAGAATAGAAACTCTCTCTCAAAAGCTCAAGTATCAGAAGCCAATCCAGTAACGGCCAGAGAGGGATTTCTCGGGCCATTCCTTCAGGAATATGACATATATTGTACTATTTAAAAGAAGAAAAAGGGAGAAACTTAAAATTAACAATATGAAATTAAAAAAGGTTAAAACTAAAACTAGGTTTAATCTTACACAACATAAATAATATTCTGCATTAACAATAATGCATAACAGAACAATATTATCATTATCAAAATATTTTTCAAAAATATAACGTATAAAATTGAAGTTCAACAATATATGATAGAAAATATCTAACTACTGATCAATAAATTTTAAGAATATAAAAGGCTGTAGTAATAACATATATTTTATATTCAAAACATTTATATCAATATCAAAAGTGCTAATAATATGTTTGAACTGTTCATTTATTAACTGTGCATTAAAATACATATTCAAAACTATGCGATGACCTAAAAAATCTTTTTGATTTTGAGAACATACTAAACTGTAAACACTAATAAATTGATAATTGTAAATGCATTTTTCTCTATTGGATGTATATTGTGTGCATGATTTAAGAAGATTAACCACTGATGAAATCAATTTTGTTTTATCTGCATTAACAGATTGCAAATACACAAAGAATTAAATTTAAATCTGCCTACTGCAGATCTTTTACTTGGCCTCAAATGTTATATAAATTAGACATTTATTCACATGCCAAGCCCATAATCAACTTCCTAGACCATCAGATGGTTTAGATTTTCAACGGATTTAAAGACGATTACTAGTTAATAATTTAATTAAAAAATGGATATTCGACACTTTGTTTATTATCGTGACAATGGTAGCATTGACAATCAAGACTACACAGTTCTTCGAAGGGCAATAACTCTGCTCATAATGAACATATTCCTTTCATTATGAGCAATTTTTTTACTATTATAGGCAGAACTGTCAGGGTATTTTTTTTTTATCTAAATCTTACATAATGCATCTTTAAGTAATGGAAATTCCTATCAATGAACTATTTCTTCTTGTTTTTGCTTGTTTTGTTGTTATACATTATCAGCTAACTTTTAAAGGAAATAAATCCTAAAGCATATAGTACTACTACTAGCGAATAATTAATCACTCCAGCTTCCAAAACTACCACAGCTACCGAAACTACCCATGCTACTAAAAGAGCTCCAACTTCCATGACGACCAAAACCAAATCCACCATATCCACCAAATGGACTAAACATTCCTCCTACCATTCTGGAAGCACCATAACCTAATGCAGCTCCACCGACAAGTGCTGGAAAAAGATTTACACAAAAACAATCTCTTTAATATTTCTCAATACACATGTATAGTACAACTTTTTAAAGATATTTTTCTTTGACTATATCAAAACTACAGGGAAGAAATATATGTTGCTGAAAACAACATATATTATGAGTGATGATTGGGAAACTCAATTTTATTCAAAATCTAAAAATACTGTCATTACGTGTAAATGTATCACATAGCAATAGTTGGAGTGTGTGTGTGGTCTATAGCATAGCTATTGCTTATCTCACTGAAAAGAACTGTCTGCTAAACTTGCAGTTGTGGGCTAACTAATTAATTTCAATCAATAATTTTCTCTTTCTAGGTCACAAGACATGATACTTTTAGTTATAAAATATGTTTTGAAGTCTAAATCAGATGAGATCTTATAGGGATATAATAAAGACAGCGGATGCATTGCTAATTAATCAAAATAAGACTTAAGAATAGAAAGCTGAGCATAACTTCATTTTATTTGCAGCAAATTAGTGAAATCGAACCTTCTGAGAATTTAGCGAAAGAGTTAAATATGACAAAATTGGACACAGTAAGGCCTCGCATCGGCTTTTAGATCTAGTTACCGGTACATACATCAATGACAACAGAATGTCATAATACAAGTAGTAATGTCGGCACCCATGAAAACGGTAAAAACATTTAAACAAATATTCATGTCTCTTCCATAAAATTTTCAGAAAATCTATAAATTACTGTTTTCTACATTTAGAAATCCTGTATATTCTTACCTGCTGCTGTGCCTGCTTTACCACCTCCTAATATACCTTTACTTTTCTTGTCTTTACCTTGTACATATACTACTTGAGGTTGCTGTTGATAACCTTGAAATATATACAATCAATATAATTAATACTTTTTATTTGTATTCTCTAATGATGCCTTCATTTAAAAACCGAATGTCTACATACTTTAATTTGATGTGCCCGAGAAGAGAAAGTGAACGTTCAATTAAATCCAAAGTACAAAAGTAAGTAAGTAAGTGAAACAATGGCCATGACTCTAGAAAAATTAACAGAAATTGTTGAAATTCAAAAGGCTTCTTCATCTCACTAATGTTAAGTACATATATCAACTTCAAAAAGATCAAACAGTAAATGTTCACAAGAAATTGTGGATCATGAACAGACTATGACAACAACAATACACGATCACATTTCCATGTGGACGTATCAAAACGGTCTTGGCTGCGATAGATTAAAAGTAATAAATGATGTACAATCAACCTGAAATTTACTGGGGACAAGAATTCACTCAATTTTCTATTACATTACCTCCAGGTTGTTGCTGTTGGTAATAACCCTGTTGAGGATAACCCTGTTGGGGATAGCCTTGTTGTGGATAACCTTGATACTGCTGTTGCGGGTATTGTTGGTAACCTTGTGGAGGTGGAGCATAACCTTGAGGAGGCGGGCCATAACCCTGAGGAGGCGGGGCATATCCTTGAGGAGGAGGGGCATATCCTTGAGGAGGAGGGGCATATCCTTGAGGAGGTGGGGCATATCCTTGTGGCGGTGGTGCATAGCCTTGCTGTGGGTATTGTGGGTACTGTTGTGGAGCACCTGGAAATAAAGATATATATAATAATATAATAAACATTCAAATTGGACTGTACAATGTTTTCTAACAAAATTTCACCCAAAAAAACCCCAGAAATACAGAAACAAAGTTAGAAACAAAAAAATTCATTTATCTGTTATTCATATTATCAAGTATTAATTCACACATGGCTTGGAATGGTGTAGAAAGGTCTTCAGAATTTTCTAGGTTCAGATCTGATCAAAAAGATATACTTTTCTTAAGAATATATGTAGATCAGTTGAGAAAACTTCATAAAAAAAATCTCTGGGCATGTATATATACAACATTATCCTAATTAAATGATGGCATCATATTGGTTGAATATTATGATTATCTAATGTGAATAGGGAGAAAACATTTATCATCCTGGCCATTCTACATGTATGGCAGATATGAATGAATATTCTTGATTCAAATCAGGATCGATACTTTGACCTTTAACAACTAAGCCAAAATAACTGAAAATATACCTTGATAAGCAGCAAATCCAACAGGTGCACTGTTTTGTGGGTAGCCTGATGATACATTATCTCGTTTCTCTGGTACAACCATATTACTTTGTGGTTGTGGTTGTTGATGTGGCGGTGTCTGTTGCTGGCCACCTGATTTTGTCTTGGGTGGAGGAAGCTACAGAAGAAATCACAAGTATTTAGCAAATAGATATATTTGTTTAAGAAAACAGAATCAATGCTAATGTCTCATTGCAAACTAAAATACAGCTTGAAATTAAGTTTCATTTGTCTGTCAAATGGAATAAAACCCAGATTTATTTAAATACTGGTGATGCAATCCTATGTTATTAGTATTGTTAGTCACAAACTTTCATTTATTGTTTGCTTTGCATGTACTGTTTGCTGTTAATAACATAATATTATATAATAAACGATCAAACTTTATACTTACTGTACTACATATGGCTGCCATCCAATCACTATAAGTAAAATATAAACAATATACAATACTTTAATTTGTACCTGTCTGTAACTACTGCCAATGCTTTACAATTTGACCCACGCAAAGATCTCACTCAAAATAATTCTCTATTAGACATTAACAGTTCATAAATAATTCCAAATACATGTACTCAATTCTTTTTCAAATAAATTCAATCCCAAAAGTTTGGCAAAAGCCAATGTCATGACTAGACTTCTTTAAATAACTAATACTTTATGGAATAACTATGACATAGGCGTACGAGCCAGGAGGAAAGGGTGGGGGGGGGCAGTTGCCCCCCTAATTTTCGGGCAATCTAACTTTTCAGGCAGACAGGTAAAGTGAAAACAAAAATGATTATTTAATCTAGTTGGCAAAATAAAATGCCCGAAATCTAATAAAACGCTAATTTCACTTTTGTTTTAATTGAATACCACAAATTTATACTTCACTATGGATTAAAGCATTATGTCTGGAGCCACTAACTCGTTTGCGCCAGTTAAATTTTCGAACATTCATTGAGCTTGTACACCTATGCATTACAGGATCATTTCTTGTATAAATTTATCAGACATTTCAACAAGATTACACTAATAAACCGCAGTAATTGTTATTTCATAAAAAGTGTGTTATTTGATTATGCCCCAATTACTAGATGCTATTCAAAGAATATAATAGACCGCTTTGTTTTGTGTACACTGTACTGTGTTGATTTAACCAGACTTAATGTTTTGATTTGTGGGTGTGTATTAGTATCAACCTTTATGTTTCGTGATTAAGCGAAACTAAAAAGAATTAGTAAACAAAATGACTTCCGCTTAATATTTAGTGGCATAATGACTCTGTTCTAACTCTATACTCTTCAATAAAAGAAACGCATAGTGACATTTCGTCGTCAGTATACCCTTGCTTTACAAATGCCTTGCTGCAACAGGAACCGCGACTCGTCGCTGAACCAAACTGTTCCCCAGCGTTGCTGGGGCCATACCCTGTCTGTCTGAATCCATCGAAGTCGGATTTGACGGTGTCAGCCTATTTCAAAACAACAGCTCTAACGGAACATTATATGGTTTCACGTAGGTGTCTATGGACTGTCTGGTCTGAGATCCTACGCCGTCCAGGAATTGATGCTGCAGTAGAGGTTGTTGTTGTGAAGCGTTTCCGCAAATAACATAACCGGATGTGACGATGCAGGGCAAGTGGGGTCACTCTTGTTTAGTCTGAGCTTGAGCGGTCACGTGCTGATCTTCGCTGTCGGTACCTATCCCAAAGGCGAGAAATGATACTCTGGGAAACATTCAGCAGCCCGGCTAAATCTGTCTTGTATACACCTGTTTCTACCCAACCGATACTGTTGTTGGGTTGGTTTTTGTTCAAATGTGGCATCACTTGGCTTGTTGAGTGTTTACATGTGCAAATGATTTTGAAACCAAGACCCCCAGGATTTTAAAGACCTTAGATTTGCGTTTCATACGAAAAGCTTGCGAAGTTGTTAAACTCATGTGTCTTGGTGGAATCAAGCGAAAACAAATTTCGGCAAAAAGTATGACCAGCAACAATTAGTGACCCTACATTTAAAACCAATAATGAATTTCTTTTATCCTTACATAATGACATTAAAAACAAGTAAGATTTATGGAAACAGCGATCCCGTTAACATAAAAAATGATGAAAAATGAACTGTGCATTTCTTTTATGAAGAATATATTTCCCAAAAACAAAGAGAATCAGCAGTTACCTCATTTAGTAAAAGACTGATTGAGACAATTCTTACATGATATGTAGCTGTTTAAGAGTAATCAAATTTAGCCTTGTACTTACTGTAATTCTGACTCCGAGGAACATAATAACCAGTGTATTTTAGCTTTATGGCTAGGTTTCATTGGTATAGCCAATACACAGTCTATACTACTACCACTAGGTAACTGTGGTCTATCTGGCATATCATTGGTATGTACACCAAATGCAAAATGTTTTGCAACTTCCTATTTAAATAATAAAAGAGCATAAAGACTTAACAAACAAAACCCATACAAGCTTTCAAATTGTGAAGAAATTGTCCAATTATCTTGTTTGGAAGTTTCAAATAAAAATATTGACCTATTTGGAAATATATTCCCTGAATTGGTCATTTAAGTAAAAGGATAACTCATTAAATTGAAGTCTCAGAATTTCATTTCAGGGACTGAGGAATCCCTTGCAATCCTCAGAATTGCAAAAGTTGAATGTCTAAGGAATTCTTTAAATAACATCTAGAACTAGAAGCATGGTTAACTATTCATAACAAATGAAATGAAATAAAATGGGGTTTATTGTCCTACTTTTCAGCATTGACTGGGCTAATGAAGACAAGTTAAATCTAAGTAAGCTTACGATCTTGGGGTCATATTTGTTTTATCAAATTTACTGCAATTCTACATAGAATTTTTCACTTAATCTGGCCTTGCCTTTGCATATGAAGAAACAATATTTTAGACTCAATCTGCTGCTCTACATGAAAAAAACCCTATTACCTTTTCAAAGAATACAAGTTACCTACAACCTTTTCAATACCCTTAAAATAAAATAAAATAAATAATGGAACATACCTTCATAAAGACTTTTCCTTTAGGTGGATCACCTTGTTTTTTATAGATAAATAACATACTATCTGATAAAATCTCTACATAACATTGATTCCATCCTCCTGATAACCAACTCTCTGTCAAATAAATTATCATAATTATAAATCCTTTAACTTCAAAAAAATCTGTACTGGTAAATGTCTTTATTTCAGTTTATCTGATCTAGGTTTCTTCACACTTTGTAATGAAATGAAATGGAATGAAATGAAATGGGGTTTAACGTCCTATTGTTCTGCTCCTACGCTGGGCTAATGAAGACGGGCATACGCCATACAGTGCGCTATGAGGGAAATTTTGCCCAGGCAGCGGCACTATCGCCTACTCTTATATCGAATTCCAACTGCCAAGGGATCTTTTACGTGCATTTCAATGTATACACGGGACTTCGGTTTTTTGTCTCATCTGATGGACTAGACAGCTGTCCTTGTCAGGCCCTCTGTCCTGCATCTCTGACAAGGGGGAACCACGTTGGAAAATCTGGATGAACTTTCTCGGCCAATGCAGGGATCGAACACCCGACTTCCAGGCTAGCGAGTCAGCATCTTTCCCACTTAGCCACGTGATCCCTCACTTTGTAATGCCTATCTTAATTTTTACATACATTTGGTAATACTAATAGCTACAATCTGCAGTAAACTCTGCACTTGACATAAAAGGATTGAGAACATGTAAGTGTCCTAAAATAATGACATTTAGCATTACACTCCACCTTATTTTAATAAAGTTTTACTAGTCCAAACTCATTGCAGTTTTGCATGGTAATGAAGCAAACCACCAAATAGTGCAATATAATCAGTTGTGGTTTAAACTTACTGCTATGTCGCTTGAGGTATCCAGCCTTCACAATAGACATCTGAAATAAATTGTACAAAAATATTTTTATTCATCATATGAGGACTTAATTTTTTCAGAAGTTAAAAATTAAATCATGTGCTATGATTAGAGTCAAAGAAATAATCATAGCGGCCTAGACTTTTTAATTAATGGGTGACATTGGTAAACATCAAGTGAATTTTGTCACAATACAGAGGTTTGAATGAGTAACCAGCGGTTGCCAGGCAAGATATGCCCACATTTTGCAAGAGATGGATAGAGAACAAGCTAAAAAACAAAAAAAAACGGTTTTTCGTACAATCAGGGGCCAGAATCAAAAAAGTTATGGTCTGTAAGGTAAGGTGCAAATATTGAAAGGGACTGAGATCTTTGGAATATAAAGATATATTTTAAGTTTCATCAAAATCAAACAAAAATTGTGAACTCTAGAGGGTCCACAATCTTCTTGTTACATACTTTTACACAATTTGTGTACAAGGAGCAATAATTTTGTCGGGCAGTTTCATTTCGATTTTCCCGAAATTCAAACTCAATCTTCCTTACGGTGCAACAGTGATATATTTAAACGTTTTTTAAATTTTGACCTCTAGAGGGACCACGTGCTAAAAATGCGATTTTTTGTTCAATCAGGGGCCATAATCCAGGAAATTACGGACCGATATGTGTGAATATCAAAAGGAACAGAGATTGTTGGGTTATTAACATATATTTCGAGTTTCATCAAAATCGGATAAAATTGTGACCTGTACTGTAGATGGTCCCCAAGCTAAAAACAGGATTTATCGCAGTCAGGGGCCATAATCCATGAAGTTACAATCTGTTACATGTCAATATCGAAAGGAACCAAGGTCTTTGGGAGATAACCTATATTTCAAGTTTCATCAAAATCGGATAAAAATTGTGACTTGTAGAGTGACAATATATGTCCACATGAAAATGTGGGCAGACAAAAACGTTTCCACCATGGGAGGTCTCAAGGAATGTTAATGTTCTTTTCATTATTAAAATTATAGATGGCACAAACTAGGCTATCATGAAACTTGTCATGTAATGAGATGATTGTCAAGACTGCAAAATTTTTGTCTACAGCGCTGCCGTAAAAAAAGCCTAAAGATTTGTGTCTACTGCACTGTCGTAAAAAAAATCCCAAAGATTTTTGTCTAAGGCACTCACGCACGACTGCACTAGTAGTCCAGGAGCTAATGACAAAATAATATGGTCATCAGTTACAAAAGGTTTGAACACCCAAATTCGTAGCAGGTGTCCGTACGAGTAAAAATCAGTTGGTCAGATCGGGCACTGCTGGGGCGTATAGCCGCAGCAGCACCTTAAAGTAGGCCCCAGGGGGCCTAAAATTAGGTCATAAGTTACATGGCTGAAACTTTGTAGGGACAATGGTATCCATAGTCGGAGTAAATATTTCACAAATCTAACCAAAATTTCCGGGGCTTTCCCCAAGTCAGACCACGCCCAATATCGCCTCACGGGGCTAATAATATGGTCATAAGTTACATGGCTGAAACTTACCAGAAACAAAGATCCACACTTGGTAAATACAATTTTCAAAAATCTAACCAAAAATTTGGGGGCTTTCCCCAAGTCAGATCGCTCTAAAGTATGTCCGACCACATCCTAAAAATGGGGCTTTTTATATGGTCATAAGTTACATAGCTGAAACTTACCAGAAACAAAGATCCACACTTGGTAAATACAATTTTCAAAAATCTAACCAAAAATTTAGGGGCTTTCCCCAAGTCAGATCGCTCTAAAGTATGTCCGACCACACCCTAAAAATGGGACTTTTTATATGGTCATCAGTTACATGGCTGAAACTTACCAGAAACAAAGATCCATTCTTGGAAAACATATTTTTCAAAAATCTAACCAAAAATGTTGGGGCTTTCCTCAAGTCAGATCGTCCTAAAGCCCACCTGGCCACGCCCTAAAAGTGGGACTTTTTATATGGTCATTAGTTACATGGCTGAAACTTACCAGAAATATTGTTCTATGCATGAAAAATGTATTTTTCGAAAATCTAACCATAAATGTGGGGGCTTTCCCCAAGTCAGACAGGCCTTAAAATTGCAGCCCCACCCACCCCTTCTATATAAAGCTTATAATAATGTAATATCAATAATACATTGTTGATCTGCATCAAGATTCAAAATTATAGCACAAAAATAGAACAAATGTTTATTAGCTATGTGAAATCCTAAAATGAGCAATGGTATCAAGTGTTGTAGGAAGAGAAAGCATGTCATACCTCATTCACGACACATGTCATGAATAGATAGTTAGGACTGATGCTAAATTTATGTCTTCAAACGTTCTGTATTCCATCACAGCAACCCATTCAACAATGATTCAGAATGTTATTCAATATCTTATATCAAAGTGGGAAATTCAAACAAATATTTTGAAAGTATTTATTGGATTAATAAGTTGCTTTGGTTTGAATTCGGTAGTTTTTGCCTTTCCCGATCTTCGATAATGAATAACAACCTAATGGATTTTAAAAAATGTTAGTCAGTGATGAATTTCTGAAATTATAAAATCTATTCATAGTTTTAATACATATAACTTTAGTTATCCTTCCTCTATTTGTTCCACATAACATTTTAATGATTTAAAATAAGTGAGTAAGCGTGGCTGGGTGACGCAAATAGTTAACCTGTCACACTTTTATCATCATACAAGAATTGTTTGATTCGTCATCGGAGTCCTTGCTTTCTTGGTCACTATCTTCATCTATGCGAATACTCTCAACTAACACGGGAGCAACATCACCATCAAAACACTTTAATTCATACACCCCATCATCATTTAAAACCCTCCTTCTATTCTCTGGATGGAAATTGGGGAGATTATTTTTGACGCATTAACCAGATACTACAAATATAATTCACTCTCTTGATTTTCAAAGTTAATACCTGTGAGCATGGCGGCAAAGGGCTTGTTTCTATGCCTTTAATACCAGAAAGACATCCATTTTTAGGCATCCAATAGATACTACAAACAAATCCTTCAATAACTATTTACTCCAGAAAGAATGGATTCGCTTTTACCGAGAGAAAACAAGGCTTTCTGGCCATAAACAGCCTTTTCTAATAATTTTAAAGGTCGGGCATCCCCTTTCCTATTAAACGATGCAGTATGATCAAAGCCAGTGAGTGCATGGATGCTTCAAATCTTTTCTCCTTTCACGGCTTATTGGTTTATATGCAATTATTGGCGATTGGTTGAATGCCTACTGTATCAAGAAGACTGTCTTTACCAAAAAGAATTTCAACAAATCTATCGTAATTTTTAAAAACAACCCCAGTTGATAGGTGTGGTCACACCATCATGCCAATGAGTGTTTCTTGGTTGTGCTCAGTGGATGTAAATGTCAATTCTGTTCGAGTTCCTCAATGCTATTGTAACTTAATGTATGTCCCAAATGATTAAGAATCTCAATAACCTTTTTACTGCCTGTAAGGCTTTTCACAGCAAGACCCAGTTATAGGTGTTTTGATGGCTTAGTTCTACCCCTGGTTAGAGAATAAATGACATGCTGACTAATGGAATTAATTCTCTTGACTTTGTTTTATCCACAATTAGATTATGGACCAACTAATAGATGTGTAAAGAAAGCGGAGACCATGTCTGGTACTGCTATTTCACCATTTGTGATATGTTGTATGGTTAAATTTTCAGGCAGTTTAATTTTCTTTGTACTGAATATTTCTCATCGGAGTAAGAAAGTGACACCCTGAACTGTATGTTCAGTTTCTCTGGCGTTGTCAGATGACTTGCGAACAGCGTCATCAACATTTAAACCTTTACTGAAGACAATATTACCACATCTTTTATTTCCACTGTCAATTGAAATATTCTCACCAAAGAATTTATATAACCAACTTGTTTTGCAAATCGCTGGGCAAAATACCTAACTCTGTATAGTTTCCGCCACCAAATTCTAATAAACATGACTGATAGTATTGCAGTATGCTATTTTTAACAGGTAGATCTCTGTTTTTCCAGAATAATGTCAGACACAAAACTACATAAAGCATCAAATGCTTTGGTATGTATATTCCTAGCATCATGTCATTCACTTTTATCATATGACCTGCTTACTTCTCGTTGATATTCTATTCTGCACATTACATGATAATGAATGTCTTTGCCAATGAAATCTATATCTTGGATGTACTTAAGCATATTTTCATCCTGAAGAATTGTTGCATATTCTTGAATATTTTTTTCGATTGTCATTGTGACACAGGTTATTACTTTCTGTTTCTGACCTTGATGTTTTCTGTTTGATTTTCTGCAAAACCGGCAGACCTTCTCGAACACACCAGAACTGGATGCAGAAGTCAATGTTAAACATGATCTCATCAATTTGGGATTGGAATTTGGATTGTCATTTTCTTGTACTTCATCATTCTATTTCTTTTGAATTTTAGATAGCTCCGTAAATCTTCTACATCATTCCATATGAAATCCTGTTAACTCATTAACAACTTTGGGGAGCATAATTTCAGCATACTTCAAACGTGATTTTTTCCGGATTTCTAAAATTTGTTGACAGTTTTGTAAAGTATCTTTCTTAAAAACAAGAATCCGACTGACATCAGTACCATTGCCATAATGAAGACAGCACCAGCCTTCGTACGATATGATGTATACCAGAATAAAGAAGTAAGAGTGGTTGATTTTTCCAACTTGACGTATTTGTATTTTTGTATGTATTTATCTACCGTAATCATGGACATATTTGTACTGGAACTACTCTAATCTATATACATGCTTATATATATTACTGCTTGACTTTATGCCTTAATTCAGAATATTTGGAAATTTCAGTTATATTACCAATTGGATTGATTTTACCATCGTCTTTTTCAATTTCCATGTTGTAATGAGTTTTTAGGCTTCAACTTGCAAAATGAATGAAATTTGTTCCGAGTGTAAAAATTGCATACACCTGTTATGTTCAAGAAAACAAAATAATTGTACTCTATGAGACACTGT